ACCGCATCCCAGGGGCCCCATATCTTCCGGGCCGAATTGGTTGTTTCGTGAACCTGCCCTGGTTCACGAAACAACCAATTCGGATCATCCATCTCCCTGGATTCCTCTATTTTCTTCCGTACCTCCATCATGGACGGTAGTTCCGTGCTGCCCCAATGGGCTGCTATCGCTCTCCTCGCTGCCAGCGCTATCTTGGCCACCAATTTATTTTGTGCCCTGGGAAGGGTCTCCATGGGTTTGGAGAGCAACCATGTCCACGGATCCAATGGGAGAACCGTCTGCAGAGCTCTGGAGGTGAGCTCCGCTATCTCCCTCCACAGCCCCGAGACATGCTCACAATCCCACCACATATGAAGGTATGTGCCCTGCGCCCCACATCCCTTCCAGCAGCGATCAGTATTCGTCTGTCGCATCTGTTTGAGTTTCAAGGGGGTGACGTACCACCGAAGTAGGGTTTTATAAGCCTGCTCCTTATGGTTTACGCAAATTGTAACGGAGGCCGTGGCCTCCCATATAGCCGCCCAGTCCGATGAGTCGCCCGGGGGGCCCAGGTCCTTTTCCCAAGCTCTCACATACGCAAAAGCCTCTGGAGGGGCATTTTTAGCTAGAACATTGTAGAGAGTGGAGATTTGTCCTCTCTGAATGGGTGTGTGTTGACACATCTTTTCAAAGTGTGTGGGCGGTGCTGTCGCCGCCGCCTTGATGGCTGGATCAGATAGGAAACTCCGCAGCTGAAGGTAGCGGAAGTGATCAAATGTGTTGAGGGGAGTGGTTTGCGGCAGGTCTGCAAATGAGAGGAGGTGGGTGTCACGGAAAAAGTGGCAAATTCTGGTTAGGTCGTTATCTTCAAAGTGAACAAAATGCCGGGGTGTCATCCCTGGGGGGAATTGGTTGTTTCTTAGTACAGGGGTTAGCGGGGAGGGCATGTGTACAAGGTCGTGCTTGCGGGTCACCCTGTCCCAGATTTGTAGGGACGTCTGCAGGGCCGGCGTGGTCTGGGGCATCTCCGGTCGGTGGTGTTTCGGCACCCAAAAGTACAGCGATGGGTGGTCTCTGATGAAAAGATCATGTTCCAAGTCCACCCAAAGCTTTACTCCCGCCGGAGCATGGAGGGACTGGATCTGCGCCAGTTGGGCCGCCTGATGATACTCCCACAAGTTCGGGAGTCCCAAACCCCCCTTCTTGTGTGGGATATATAGTGTAGACCGTTTCACCCTGACCCTCCCCCCCACCCCCAGATAAATTTATCTATCTGCGTTTGCAGGGATTTGAAATCTGTTTTAGAGATCGGGATGGGGAGGGTTTGAAACAGGTATAGGAAGCGGGGGAGTAAGTTCATTTTCACTGAGGCAATCCTCCCAACCATGAGATAGATAGCTTTTGCCAGTCCGTCAGGTCTTTTTTGGCCTGTTCAATCAGTGGGGGGAAATTCAGTCGGTATGTCGAGTTAAGGTCCGAGGGTAGGTATACTCCCAGATATTTAATTCCATCCGGTCGAAAGCGGAATGGGTACTTTTCTCGTAGGGACCTGTCTACTCCGGGGGGAATACACAGTGCCATCGCCTCTGTCTTGTCTAGATTCAGTTTGTATCCCGATGTCACCGCGTATTCCTCTAAAAGGTTCAGCAGGGGGGGTAGGGAGGTGTCCGGGTCCGTCAATGTCAGGAGCAGATCATCCGCATAGGCCGCTATTTTGTATTCCTCCCGTCGCACCTTCAGACCTTTAATATTGGGGTTTAGTCTTATCATGTGGAGGAGGGGCTCGAGGGACAGGGCAAAGAGGAGGGGGGAAAGGGGGCAACCCTGTCGTGTGCCATTATATATGCGGAAGGGGAGTGATGGGGCGCCTGGTATAAGTAGGCATGCTGTTGGACAGGAGTACAAGTTGCGGATTGCCGTCAGGAAGTCATTGGGTAGTCCAAATTTTTCTAACGTTGCGAATAAGTATGGCCACAGTATGCGGTCGAACGCCTTTTCAGCGTCAAGGGAAAGCAGCAATGTGGGGGTCTGTTTGCGAGTGGCTGCCCAGATCAAGTCATATGTGCGTCTGGTGTTGTCACTGGCTTGTCTGTGTGGGATGAATCCCACTTGGTCTGGGTGAATCAATTTTGGGAGATGTGCTTGTAATCGGTTTGCCAGAAGTTTGGTGAATAATTTTATGTCCACATTAAGGAGTGAGATGGGGCGGTAATGTCCGGGGTCTAGGTGGGTTTGGTTTGGTTTCGGTATCAAACTTATGTTGGCTTGTAACATGTCCGGGGTTATCGCCTCCCCTGTGCAAATGGAGGTGAATAGGTCTCTGAGGTGTGGTAGCAGGATCGCCGAGTATGTTTTATAATACAGCCCCGAGAAACCGTCCGGGCCAGGGCATTTGTTAGGTCGGAGAGATTTAATCGCCTCTGCGACCTCTTCTATCGAGATGGGCGCCGCCAATGTTTCTCTAGCCTCTGCCGTAAGCTGTGGGGGGGGGATATCTCTCAGGAAGCCCTCTGCTTGTAATACAGGGGTGTGCGTGTCTTGCCTAGCGCTTGGGTCATGATCGTATAGTGCGGCGTAGTATCGGCGAAATATTTCCGCTATCTGAGTCGGGTCATCATGCGTGCGCCCATCCGGGTCCCTAATCGTGGTTATGCGTTTGCGTGTTGTTTTACGTCTTAGTCTGTTTGCCAGTAGGGAGTCTGCTTTGTTAGACTTCTCATAGAACATTTGTCTGGTCCAGAGAAGTGCTTTTTTGGAGTCTTGGGCCATGAATGTTTGTATGGCTTGTCTGTGTGTCTGGAGTTGCCTTAAAAGGTCGGGGGTGGGGTTTTTTTTATGAAGGCGCTCTGCTTTGCCGAGTTCCGAGAGATGGTGTGCCAATTGTGCCAGCTTTTGTTTTTTGTGTGCTGTCGCTTCTGCTATTAGGGTTCCCCTAATTACTGCCTTATGGGCCGCCCACAGCGTGCTATCCGATGCCACTGAGCCCTTGTTAGTATCAAAAAAACTTTGGATATCTCCCCTGACTTTATCTTGTATATGTGGGACGTGGAGAAGCGTGGGGTTCAATCTCCAGGTCCATGGCCTAACCGCCTGTGGAAGCTGTACCCAAAGTGTGATGTCAGCATGGTCGGACCACGTGATCTGGCCTATAAGTGTTCTGTCTATGAACTGTATCAATGACGGGGACGTCAGGAACATGTCGATTCGGGAGTATGACGTATGTGGGTGTGAGAAGAAGGTAAAATCCGCTGTCGTGGGGTGTTGGACACGCCAGACATCCACTAATTGTGATGTTGTCAGGAAGGATTGAAATAGCTTATCGGCTTTCGCCATAGATGTTTGGTGGGGGTCCAGTCGGGGCTGTCGCCGTCTATCCTGATCGGGGAGTGGTACCGCGTTAAAATCTCCCCCCAGAATAATATGGTGGGAGGGGAAGAGGCCCAAGTGCGCCTGGAGCAGGCTCCAAAATTGCGCTGACGAGTTCGTGGGGGCATAGACTGACGTGATGGCATACTTGTGTGAACCTAGTTGCCCCGTGATGGTTAAGTATCTCCCCAGGGGGTCCGCGACCGTGCCGCTAAAATGAATCGGGCAGGATTTACGGACCAAGATCGCTACCCCGTTATGTTTGCCCGAGGGTGAGTTCGTGAGATGATAGTCCGTGTAGTGTCTGGTGCGTAGAGGGAAAGCTTTCTGTTGTTCGAAGTGAGTTTCCTGGAGGAGGATGACGTCCGCTCCAGTTCTGTTGGCCCATCGGAGGACGCGGTGTCTTTTGGCCGGGTTATTCAGGCCCTTGCAGTTGATCGAAACGCACTTTAACGCGAGCGGGCGTCTCGCCCCCTTAGGCTTCGCACCCACCGGGTTGACCGGGTCCCCCATGGGCCGTCCCGGGAGCGTCTGGCGGGCAAGGAGGGAGACCCGGGGAATCCCCCCGTCCAGGGAAAAGGGGAAGGGTAAGAGGGACCAACAAGCCCCAGTTGGGGCTAAGATAAGTGCAGGGAGGCTTGGGCTTAAACCAAGAGTGCCAAGCCAGGAGGGTGAAAGGACCCTGCGGTAAAATAGGTGGGGTCTGTGCCCCGATGTGGGCGTCTAATCAAATGAGTTGGAAAGGGGAGGGTGTGAGAGAAGAGATGGGCCACCACTATCAGCCCCCCCTCCCCGCTGCCAATTAATGAGATAGTCCTGGCACTAGAAATTTGTCTAACGTTAACCCTTAATAACTTCGCACCCTACCGTGTGGGCAACTATATACATCGATAACTGAGGCGCTGCGACTGACCCAGAGTCTCCCAGATGCGGGGGGCGTCCACGTCCCCTTGTCACCACCGTCCGGCACAAGCCCTCCGGCATGCCTCAGCTAAGTCGGGTGTCCCCCATGCCGCCTCGGGTGTGCCTAAAGAACTCGTGTAAGCCCTATGTCCCCTATGCATCCCCCCCCGTCAAGTTGTCTGAGTGCGTGTGCGGTATGGTTATGCCCAGGGAGACCACCTCCCATCGTATAACCTGTCCCAAGACCCCCTAACCCTGTGTGAACCCGTTGGTCCCCTCCCCCATACCCTCTCGTATACCCCTGTGTAATGTCGGAGTACCTGACCATCTTTAGATCTTGCCTAGGCAAGGGAGGACGCTGTGTGCGGTCACCCAGGGTACAACCCAAAACCTCCTGTACTGCAGAGAATTGTCAGGGGGAAAGTAGCCTAGCAAGTCACCTCTACCCCCTCCGTCCCATAGTCCCACACCCCCTCCCCTGGCCGCCCCGCCAGCGTGGGCAGTGAGAGTGGTGACCCCCCCCCTGCGGCCAGACCCCCCATACCCCCTACAGCCCCGGGAGGACCACTTGCTGGGGAGGGGGGGTTGGGCTCCGCAGCCCGCCAGGGTCCCCAGCTCACATTCTCCCCCCCCCACCCACCCCTCGGGTCTTACTGTCCAGGTAAGCAGCATGAGGAAACCAAAGAGTTCAAACAGTTCAACCACACCTCCGCTCTGGGAAAGAGAGTCAGCACAAGCCTCCGCCGTAGCGCCTATGGTCTGCGGGGGCTGCCTCCCGCCGTCATCACTCTCCTCCGTGGTGTATGGCGAGGGGTGCGATCATCTGCCCTGGCTGCCCCTCCGGGTCCCCCCCCAGGCCTCCGTGGAAGTTGTGAGGGTGGCGGCAGGAGTTCCAGGCCCAAGGAGGCAGCAAAGGGGACCATCTCCGTCGCGTGATGGAGGACGTGGGTCTGCTCGTCTTTGCGGACCACCAACTTGAACGGGTGCCCCCACATATACTTGATGCCGTGATGAGTGAGGGTCAGTGTGAGCTGTTTGAGGTCTCGGCGTTTCTTGAGTGTCAGGGGTGCCAGATCCTGAAAGAAGGCCAGCCTGCAGTTCAGGTAAGATGGCGGATTTTGCCGCGCTTTTCTGAGGAGCTGCTCCTTGATAGGGAATCTGTGCAAACGAACGATGACATCTCTAGGGGTGTCAGGGCTGAAGGCCGGAGCCCGGAGTGCTCTGTGGGCCCTGTCCATCTCCAGGTCCCTGTCCACAGCCTCCGGGAGCAAGGACCGGAACAACCCCAGTAATGTTGCTTGTAGGCAGTCACCGGGAACCGACTCAGGAAGGCCCCGGACCCGGATATTATTTCGTCTCGATCGGTTATTTAAATCCTCCAATTCCTCCTCTAAGGATGTAATCTTTCCGTGGAGGTAGGTTAGATCTTGGGAGTGGGTCCGAGAGGATTCTGCCAAGGCTGTAAGCTGTGTTTCGGCCTGGTTGGTATGTCGTGCCAGGGCCTCTATGTCTCCCTTCAGACCCTGTATATGGCGGTCTAGTTCTGCCGCCGTGTGTGCTTTGATGTCAGCCGTGGCGTCCAAGAGGAGTACCTGGAGATCCCTTTTGGTTATAGGCTGGTCAGCTGCGTGCAAGTGCTCCGGAGTGTCCGGTTCCAGGCTGGGGCTCGCCTTTCCCGTTCGGCAAGATGGCCGCCGAGGTGTACTTTGCGATCGAAAGATCGTGGCCACGGAAGGGTTATTTGCTTTTTTCTTTTTTATTCCTCCCATACCCGGGTGGCGTGCCCGGGTCTAGGCTGCGAGGGGTGTCTTTTTTACTGTCTTGGGGTGCCTGAGGTCGCGGATGTTAGCAGATTTTAGCACGGGGAGAGAGGGAACCGCAGGACTAAGCGTCCATCTCCTTCCAAGGTCAGGCTCCGCCCCCATCAGCTACCATTTTATTTTAACACTTTCCATGCACTAATTCTACCACCAGTCTTTGTCAAACTTTTGGGTAGTTACTGACAATGAACACCCCAATAAGTATTCAGCAACATCTTCTCAGTACAACAGTACCCACAATGTTCAGGTTTTATAGGGTTTTGCAAACTTACAGGGGTCAAATGTAGGACTTTTCCCCTTTTCCATGTTTGCACATTGAAATTTGCCAGATTGGGTTGCTGGACCTATGTTGCCTTTGAGACCATATAGCAGTCCAGTAATTGAAATTAACCCAATCATGGCATACCATTTGTAAAAGTAGACAACCCACAGTATTCAAAATTGGGTATGTATAGTCTTTTTTAGCAGCCACTTAGTCACAAACCCTGGCCAAAATTAGCTTTTTTTTTATATTAGTTTTTTTTGCATTTTTACACATAAACTGCAATTTCACCGATGACATTATCAGTATAATACATTTGAATGCTCTAAAACTCTCATATTTGTGTAGAGTAATGTCTCACGAGTACAACAGTACCCCTCAAGTACAGGTTTTATGGTGATTTGGAAAGTTTATGTTGCCTTTGAGACGGTTTTTTTATTTTATTTTTTTCCCATTTTTAAAAATGTATTTAATTTTATATATATATATATATATATATATATGTATATATATGTATATATACATAATTAAAGACATTCTAAATGTATTTTAATATTAATATATATATAATTAATATTAAAATACACTTTTAATAATGGCGTATGTGTGTTTATGTGCATGTAAAAGTACTTAGATCATATAGATATATGATCTAAGTACTTTTTATTTACTTTATAAACTTTTATTTAACTTTGACTAACTTAAAAAAACTTTTTTTCAGGCACTAGGGGACTGCCTGAGAGCTCAGGCACTGCAAAAGCCGGCTATTCCGGCCATGTGATCCGTGGACCCAGCGATCACATGGTCCGGGGGGCCGGATCAGCCACAGGGGGACTGCCTGGAATGCCAGGCAAGTCCCCACGTCTCAATCACCGGCGGGGGATTACTAGCGTTCAGGTAAGTGCATAGATTGCTGCAGACATACTACGAGGTTGTTAACAACCATTTTTTGTCGGACGTACCTGGTGCATCCGCGGTTGGGAAGGGATTAAAGAAGAAGCAAGAGCAGTGAACCAGAGAACAGCTGAATGAGAGGATATTCGGAGAAGGAAATTCTGATCCGATCCATGCCTGTGGCTGCTCAATGTTACTAAACTAAACTGGGGACCGTTAAGAGGAAACTGGGGCCCTAGGTGACAAAAGGGGGAGGGGGCTACTGTCTCCCCTCCCTGGCCCCCCCACTAGTGGCTGGAGTCCCTAAGTATCAAAAGGGGGGGGGACCTATTGTGACAAGGGGGACAATAAATTGTAGTGAAGCCGGGTTAAAAAAAATCTGGATGCGCCATGACAGTCCTGCTTTAATAAAATGTATACATTTTTACCATTTTTAATTTTTAACATTACATTCTGATCTTTCTTTGGTTGAACATAGCAACCTTGGATTCCTTCAGAGCTGCTCTGTGATAGATTTATGTTTATAATACTTTAATGCTTTAATTAGAAATCTAAGCAAAGCCTTTCTGAATACCAACATATTTATATATTTTCCTATAGTTAAGGAGTACATAAAGTTGACTCTGCAGCATACTGACCACAGGAATTAATCACTGTTGATGGACTGGGTGTTCTGTCAATTACGCATTCCTGTAATATTGTAGCACCAGCCAGTTCAACGTGATCATTTAGACTTTTTAGAGTTTGCGGACGATGATTACTACTCAGACCTTAATGTGTTACTGAGTGCTTGTGTGCCTCTCTAGACTTAGTTTTAACTATTGCTGCCTTCTTTTGCCAATGCTACATGTCACATTGAAGACTAGTATTGTTAATAAAATGTTTTCTTTTTTTCGTTTTTCACTATGTTGTCCTTTGTCGCCAGTTTGCCATTGTATTAATTAGTAGTTGCTAGTCTAATTTCTGTCACGACCATTTCTTGCTTTTGAATATTTAAACTGATACTCCAATGCTTTATAAATGACTGTTTTTTAAAATATAGAATAAACTTTTAAACATATTCATTTAAACTTCCCGCTCCCAATAAAGCTGTAAAGGAAAGAGAAACATTCATTGAAATTACACAAAATTAAAAGGGATTTAAAATGGAAATTAAAATGGAGCACTATATGAGATGGGGAAAGCAGGAGGGGACCTCTGAAAGAGGGATGGATAGAGGGAAGATCAAACTTCCCCTTGCAAGCACGCTCCCATCGCTACATGGAAGGGGAAAATCTGCTAACGCCTGTCACACGTACTGTCAACAGACATATATTTTGCATACAAATGTTATGTCAGCTCGGAACAGAGTTCCATGGCTGCCCAAGTCACATGTGCCAGGGGTGTAACCAGCACAGGCACAAGAGTGCAAATATCTCTGAACGTGCAGTGTTTCAAGCAGAAATGCTTCACATACAGATTCCTGCCACCATGACCACTTTTGAAAGCAGAAGAGGTAGTGGGGGTTGGAGTAACACTTTAATATAAATCTATGGTTTTGTATTCACAAATTAATGTACAGCATTACTGTAAGCGTAACATTATTAAGGTGAAGGAAGAGGGGGCTTTTTTGGTTCACCGTCAAAGACAGAGAGATATATAATTCAGACATATGGATTGATGACTTACATTTTTTTTAGCACTCTTATACAAAGCTCTTTAAGAACAGCCCAGGAAGACAATCTAAAGTAAAAATGTGCAATATGACAAAAGATAATGGGAGAACAAAAATATGAGGAGTATCATAGAAAAAGTTATTGCAGATGTGGGCAATTGAAGAGTTAGTCAAAATCATTAACTGATAGGCAATAATAATGGTCAATAAATTAAAGGTGGTAAGTAAGGGAAGGGAGCTGAGAAAATATGTGCATTATGTGGCGTTGTGTGGGGAAAGAGTTTATGTTGTACCTGGGAAGACTGAGGGGATGCATTTAGAGACACTGTACAGATAGGCCATCATTTGGTTCACAGTGAGAGAGAGGGAACACACAAGGGTTGCAAAACAAGCGGAAATGGGTGTTAACAACAGTACCTTTATTAATGTTATCATACCTTTATGAATGTAATATGGCAATTTGTGTTCCTAGAGCCCTTGGTGTAGAGCAAACATCTCTAAGTGCTGAGGGTAAGTCTCTGGTGCCCACAAAAGTAAGACATGAGAAGACAAACCCGGGATAGTGGGAGATGAGCACCGAAATCAGAACTGTCCTGTAAAACCTGGGACAGATTGAAGACCTATATATCTGAATACAAACACCTATCATCATGAAAACATTTGCCATATACACTGCACATCCAACACATTATTGCCAGGCTAATGGTGAAAAAGTTTTTGTGTTTACTGGGAAGAATGATTGAATAGATATGCATCATGCTTCTTTGCCCCTTAAAAGTGTCATTTCTAGTTTACAGCAAAATCTTTCATTTTCACAGCTGTTTTGTTTCAGAACTACACGTGACATCACATGAGCCATAAACCATATGCCCAACATCAGCATCCAGTTTCATGTGATTCCAGTGGGTGAGGTAAAAGTGAGAAGGCCAATAGACTCATGGAGGAAATCCACTCATCCTTAACACACACATACGACCTGTACACCGCATGCTGGTCCCCCTGGCTTAACTTTCTCAAAAAGGGACCTCCCGCCACATAGGGTTTCCACTACAAAGGGCCACCATGGTGTATGGCCAATAAGTCTTCCTCTCTCCTCCCTTCCCCCCCCCTCTTTGAAGTTTGACAACTTTGGCTGGCTACAGTTTAGTAAGATCTAATGGTATCACAAAAGTATAAATTTAGGGGTAGAGCTACATTTACTACCGCAAATTAACCAATAACACCTAGTTTGTGATCCAACAGCACCAAGACTAGAACCTACGCATACCAAGCCCACCACAACCCGAACAACCCTGCTTAATCTCGTTATTTATTTATTTAAATCTCTAAAGCCTATCTGACACAATAAGGTAGACAGGACCAGCCAGAGTGAAGTTAATGCACAATGTTAAATGTTTGAAAATTTATTTTTGAATATTGTTTACTGCAAAGAACTAACCCATAAGTGTGATAATGGAATGCAGACGTGATACCTTACAAACTGGAAGAATTCTTCCAAAGACGTTCCTTACACTACCATGATTTCACAACTCAATATTTTATGCTCATTCAATGTACTCTATGTTAACACAATGCACAGTTCTGTATGTATGCAAAACTTTGAAAATAAAGAAAAATTAAAAAAAAAAAAAGTGAGAAGGCAAGTGAGGCAAATAATATTTCTGGCACCGCCAAAACAGAGAGCCTGCCTGGAAAGGAGGAGAATTGACAGGTCAGCTTAATATGAAAGCATGTGAGGGCTACCTCTCAGTCAAGCAGACAAGCCCACCAATGGTGGACCGTGCCGGGAGTTTCACCATTCTCGGTATAGTCCTAGTCCCTCAAGCATAGAGTAAGAACATCTAATGATGTGCTTATGCAACGCATTCTGAAGACATTCCCCATGTGTCTCCAAAAGCTGGACACCAGGTAAAAAAGTTTGGAAAGGATTCTAAAATAGGGACTCTCTAGCTGAAATCTGGCAGTTAGGAGTATTGCATAAACTGACAATTCATCCATGAGTTTAGCACTGATCATTAACCTAATTTTTAATCAGAATATTCCATTCAACATGTTACTTCATAAGCTAAACACCATTTCATGGGGCAAAAATGTTATGTTGGTAAATTCTACTAGTACAGCTTCAAAACATAAGGGGAACAGAAAAATAAACCTATTTTCTTTTCCTAAGAATTTCTGTACATACAGTTTGTGCAACCAGATAGTACGCTACAGAATTTCTATAAATGGTCCTTTTTCATGTTTGTTTGTTTGTGTCTGTTGCAGCCAAGTTACACAACTCAGATATTCACTACCAAACAGAAGCATGCTGGATACATCAGAAGAGTCCAGAGGAAGGTTCACATAGACATTAAGGTCGAAAACTAGGAAGTAGAATCAAGGCCATATAAGAACACTCCTCTCTGCCAACAAGTAAAATGCGACATGAAATTTTCCATAACATCAAAATGGAAGCCCTCAATGGTTACTGTGGAAGTAGAATGCCATTCATTATTTAGTGGTAATTTTCTGTTATAAACATGTTTAAATACACCTCCATTTAGGAAATATAACATGAATGCACCTAAATATGTTTACATTATGCTAATCCAGGGGTGCCCAAAAGGTAAATCCCCAGATGTTTTAATACATCAGCTTCCATGATGCTTTGTCATTCTGAATGCATGCTTAAGAGTTGTAGTTCTACAACATCTGGGGATCTACCTTTTAGGCACCTCTGCACTAGTCAAAATGATATTTTGCATTAATGTTTAATGTCATAGGTTCGCCAGACAATGCACCTAACAAATAATGGAAAATCTACCATCAACTATAGGAATGATTTATTAATATCAGAATAACGATAATCCCCAAATTTGTCAGAAAATGGCAATTCAGATAATTACTAAAGGCAATTCAGGGGCACAATCAGATATTCACATTGAATGGGCAAATTCACCTTAACACAACTGTATATGCAGTGGCGGAACTACCGCGGTCGCAGCTGCGATCGGGTTCATTACTCCCGGCGGCCCGGCCACCCTGAGAACCCCTGCGACTGCGGTGCCCGCCAGCTAAGTAACGCGGCCCGGCCCATGCGGTATAACTGCCAGGGCTGCATTGAAGTGACCCATGCTGTTAGGGCCACCTGATGGCAATGAATTTCCAGGGGGCCGGTCTGCGCTGTGGCGCTTTAACAGCGTGACCAGGCCCCCGAGATGACTTCAGAGCTGGGAGGAAGTGACTGCCCCGGTCACTCCTCCCAGCTTATACCGGAAGCTGCGCGGGAGGAAGGAGAGGAGTGAGTCAGAGTGGGAACTCTGACTCCCATCAGCCTGAGCCACCACTGGACCCCAGGGAAGTCACCCTCCTGCATCTAAAAGCATATGTGTGTGTTTGTATGTATGTGTTTGTGTGTCTGTATGAATGTTTCTCTGTATGTGTGTCTCTGTGTGTGTGTGTTTGTATGTATGTATATATGTATGTGTGTTTGTATGTATATGTGTATGTACAGGGCCGTCTTTAATATTGACCGGACACTGGGCAACCATTTGCTTGGGGCCCCTGGACTCTGCCCCCTGCCAGACATACTAACACACATACACAGAGACATACACTGACAGACATACTGAAACACACGCTGACACACACACTGACAGACACATATTGACAGACATACTGACACACACACAGAAACATACACTACAGACATACTGACATATGCAGACACATATACTGACACACATACACAAAGACATACAATGACAGGCATACTGACATACACAGACAGACATACTGACACAAGCACAGACACATACACTAACAGACATACTGACATAAACATACACTGACAGACATACTGACAAACATACACTGAAAGACATACTGACACAAACACAGACAGACATACTGACATAAACATACACTGACATACATACTGACACAAACACATACACTGACAGACATACTGACATAAACATACACTGACAGACATACTGACAAACATACACAGACAGACATACTGACATAAACATACACTGACATACATACTGACACAAACACATACACTGACAGACATACTGACAAACATACACTGAAAGACATACTGACACAAACACAGACAGACATACTGACATAAACATACACTGACATACATACTGACACAAACACATACACTGACAGACATACTGACATAAACACAGACAGACATACTGACACAAACACAGACAGACATACTGACATAAATTTACACTTTTAAACCCACCCACAAGTTTCCTACCTTGGAAGGTGGTTCCCCAGGTGTCCAGACTGAAGGTTGTTGGGATCTGCCTCTCCTGGCAAAGGCTCCCTCCTTCGTCTCCCGCGCGGCTCCTCTCCTTAGTGGGAGGAAGTGACTCGCAGCCGTCACTTCCTCCCAGCGCTGCCGAAAAGCAAAGGGCCCGGTCGCGCTGTTTAAGAGCTACAGTGTGTGACCGGGCCCCTGCTTACAATACCCACCCGGTGGCCTGCTTAATGTGGGGGCCGGCGGCCCCATGGGAGAAACAATTGTTGAGGGCAGCGGGGCCCACGGGGAAGCTGCCTTGGGCCCCCCAAGAGTAACAGGGCCTGGGGCAGCTGCCCCGTTTGCCCCGCGTTAAAGACGGCCCTGTGTATGTATGTGTGTTTGTATGTATAAGTCTCTGTATATGTGTATGTGTCTATATGTGTCTCTGCATATGTGGGTGGGGACGTATGGGAAGGGAAGGATAGACGTATGGGGGAGTGGCGGGGGGTTGATGTTTGGGGGTGGGAGGGCCCAGGGAAATTTCTGCACCGGGGCCCCGTGGTTTCTAGTTCAATCAAAACTGATTGAAGGGCTTAGAACACTTACCAATTCATGTAAGACTTGCCATTAGTGCGCTGTGATTGGCTTGTTTTTCAAACCAAAAACTCACTTTCCACATGATTGAAATTCAAGACTTTAGCATTCTACAGCAAAACACTTTTAAGGAATAGGCTGCAGTTCTGTTTTTTTTTTAAGTGCCTTTGTGGTTTTCTCTCTTCTTTGTGATTCGCGTACTTATGTATAGTATGAAAAAAAGTTTGGTGTGAAATCTTTATTTTCAAGATGACGTCAATACACCCTCGCCACCTAGCCAAAAGAGGAGATTTAGGAATTCAGGATGCCATATAGGAGGGCAAAGGGATTCCACAAGCTGTCACCTTTATTGCAGCACATAGAGACAGCTCACACTACCCTAGACACTAGGAACATAACTGATTAGCAGGGGAGGAGACAAAGAATTAAATTAATTTAAAGCATTTGTGAGTGTGTCTGTATGTATTTTACATATGTATTTTATGTACGTGGCCAAATGCGTAACTAGAAACCACCAGGCCCCAGTGTGAAAATTGCCCTTTGGCCCCCCATGTGTCTCATCCCCACCAGCCCCTCCACATGTCTTATCCCCCCGCCAACCCCTCCACGTGTCTCATTCACCCCCGCCAGCCCCTCCACATGTCTCATTGCCTCCCCCAGTTTCTCCATGTGTCTCATCCCCACAAGTTCTTCCACTTGTCTCATTCCCGAAGCCCCTCCATGTGTCTCATTCGCTCCCTAGCCTCTCCACCTGTCTCATTCCCCCCTAGCTCCTCCATGTGTCTCTCCCATGCCCCAAGTATCTCTCCAAGCCCCCCAATCCCTTTATGTGTCTCTCCCAACTGCTCTATGTGTCTCACCCACTCCCCAGCCCCTCCATGTGTCTTTTCCATCCACGTGTGTGACAGACACACACACACACACACAAAAACTGACAAACACACACACTGGCACACTTACAAATTATTGCACACTTAAATTAATTTTCTTTTGGAAGAACTGGTGTGGGTCCTCTCCCTGGAGTCCAGTGTGGTGCAGTGCTGTAATCTGGCAGTTCCTCTCTCTTCCCGAAACTCATATTCAGGCCGGGCCCCCTTTGGTGAAGGGCCTGGTCGCGGCTGCAACCCATGTGACTGTGGGAGTTCCTCCACTGTGCATGGTATAGTTTCCTCCTAATTATTAGGGTGTCATTTTTTCAAATAAGTTGTTTGAACTCACCTTAAGAATACTTTGGATTTATTATGGGATTATTTTGCTCAAGTAAAATTTTGATCAAATTATTTCGGATAGATAGATAATTTATTTTATTTTACTCAAAGCTTTTAATAAACAACATTCCTTGTTATATGGGCTAATATGAAAGTCTACATTACAAGTCAGAAGGAAAGGACACACACATGCTTAAAATAGAGTTGTTTTGTTTAACAGAAACATGCCGAATGACTGACAGATTCAATCTGTATTGTACACGAGTCTAGCACAGCAAATAATGTAATTATATAATAACAAGAGGAAAAGAGAATACAAAATAGATTTTAATGTATGACTTCTAATTCAGGAAAATAGCTTTATAAATAAAAAAAAAAGTCAGCATACAACAAAAGAAAGTATGTGCAGAGGAAAATTGTTAAATAATTTCATTTTATAACACATAATAAAAGCAATATTAATATGAATAATCTAATTTGCAGATGTTCTACCTTGTGTACTGCTGAAGAACAGTTTTGCAAAAATATGTAGCAACAAAAATAAAATCCATCTGGTGTTTTTATTTTTTTTATTTTATATAAAGGTGCAGTACTGAAATGCTGCAGGTTTAATAATCCCAGTCAGAAAACTGAAATTGTCTGATATTATTATTAGTATTATGTAGAAAAGCAAACCCCAAACTCACCGTTAGTTTAAACTCATAATTAAACAGCCATCAAGTTCATTATCATTGTATTCACGTTCTGTACACAATGTAGTACATAATTATTCTTCCTATTCTTCACAAATAAGCTGAAAATATCCCCAAATTGACAAATCGTTTGTTAAAACAGTGACCACAATAATTTACTCCATTACATTCAATTACTTAAAGGAGACGGTGAATGTTTTCCTAAATGAATTATGACATAGGGATAATGTGTTCTAGAGAAGGACACTAACACTAAAGGTTGGCAGTGTTGGGTTTGCTAGATTAATTTAGAGACGGCTATGGATAACATAAACTCCAGTCAGTGGTGTATTTTGGATTTGTGCTGCCCTAGGCATGATGAAACTTGGACCTCATCTAATTTAAATTTGCCCCACCTCTTCCTGTCAAGGCCTCTCTTCATCCTGACCAGACCAACATGCACTTTAATTGACAGACACATGACTTCACTAATGCATGCAGTAAAATACACTCACTGACAGACAACCACACATTCACTGACAGACATAAACACTCACTCACTGACACACACTGACAGATACACACACTGACAGACATACACACACACACACACACACACAAATTTACTGACAGACACTGTGACGAACTGAACCTCATCACAGGTTCTTGGAGGGCCTGCTAGCCAGCCTCTTGCCCACTGACTATGGGCCAGGTCAGCGACTATAAAGACCCATCTATTATTCCCCCTCGTTCCCCTGGTTCGGCACTTTCCATTCATGCGCAAATAACCGAAGGCTAGCTCCTTGGCAGACGTTCGCATGGACCAAAACCGCAAATAGACTTACAGGGGGACTTATCCGCGAATGCCCTGGAACTATTTTCGGCATGAAGACTTTGTGGTTCCCCGTAGGTCCCCAGCGGCACTTAGCCTCAATCCTATGGAACTATTTTGGGCATAGGACCATGTGTGCTGGTCTGCTCACCTCCCCTCTCCCTGTGTTCTCCACATCTCCCCTTCTCCTCTCCCTGTGTTCTTCTTACCCCCCTCTTCCCTGTGTCCTCCTCACCTCCCCCTCCCTGTGTTCTCCTCACCACCCACCCTCCCTGTGTTCTCAGTCCCCTCCGTTCTCCTCATCTTCCCTTCTCCTCACCCTTACTCTCCCCCCTCCTCCCTGTGTTCTTCTTACTCCCCCCGTGTTCTTCTTACACCCCTCCTCCCTGAGTTCTTCTTACTCCACCCCGTTCTTCTTACTCACCCCTTGTTCTTCTTACTAGCCCCCTTGTTCTTCTTACCCCCACTGTTCTTCTTACCCCAAGTGTTCTTCTTACCCCCTTGTTCTTCTTACTCCCTCCCCTCTTCTTCTTCTTACTCCCCCGTTCTTCTCTTACTCCCCTGTTCTTCTTACTCCCCACCTGTTCTTCTTTCCCTCCCTTCTTCTTACTCCCCATTCTTCTTACTCCCCTTGTTCTTCTTACTCCTCCTTGTTCTTCTTACCCCCCTTGTTCTTCTCCCCCCTGTTCTTCTTACTCCCCACCTGTTCTTCTTACTCCCCTTCTTCTTCTTACTCCCCCACCTGTTCTTCTTACCCCCCGGTTCTTCTTCTTACTCCCCACCTGTTCTTCTTACCCCGTTCTTCTTACTCCTCTCTTCTTCTTGTTACTCCCCACCTGTTCTTCCTCCCCTGTTCTTCTTACTCCCCACCTGTTTTCTTACCCCCTTCTTCTTACTCCCCTTTGTTCTTCTTACTCCCCTTGTTCTTACTCCCCCTTCTTCTTACTCCCCATTTCTTCTTACTCCCCCCACCTGTTCTTCTTACCCACCACTGTTCTTCTTACTCCCCCCTCTTCTTACTCCCCCCTTCTTCTTACTTCCTCAGGCGGCTGCAGCATTAGGATCGGCCCTGCAGCGGCCGGTTTTAAAATGATTTAGGGCAGCCTGGGGGGCAATTGCCTCCCTGCCCCCTGGCCCAGCCCGCCCCTGCCTGACAGCATAACCACTACTGCTACAGAGAGAAAAAAACTCACAAGGAGTAAGTGTGTGAGAAAGCGCTTAAAAAGTGTGTAGAAAATAATAGCAGCTCTTAACACCCGTGAGGGAATACCTTTCCCCTTCACCTGAACACAAAATCAAACCAACAAATATCAAGATAAAATCTTAACAATATATGGGTGGAGCGCTTAATTATATTTACATGCAATAATTGCTTACCCCTTAAATTAAGTGTAGAGATTCTGATGTACTTGAATACATATAAAATGGGGAATAAGAACAGAGAAATAATACTAGTGCAGATAGTACTGATATACAGATGGAGTGCAAAAGTAAATAGGAGAAAGAACTCACAATTTTCGGAGCCTGGGAATTAAGGCTCTATAGAAGTATAGTGGTGCTCATATAGGTGGCACTGGTACTCCACCTTCTTCTCACGGAATACTTTCTCAGGATAAAGCAGACAAAACAGAAGGATCTTATAGTGTAGTATATTTAAACACCATTGATGTCAAAAGTATTTAATAAATTGACTCTCACCTTCTTAAGAGCCTATTGATGCCTTGGCTCTAAGGTGGGAACACTAAGTGTCAATTTCTAGGAACCTGGAATTTGGACTAGTAGGCAGATAGAATGCTAAAAATTAGTATTTATTTAACATATAAAAAACAATTTGAAAAGCAGTAAAATCAAATGACAAGCACTAATCAGTCTCTTAAGTCCAGTCTCTATGTCCCAAAACACGTTGTGCCGGTAAAGGCTTCCTCAGTTGGCTGAATAATAACTCCTAGGTTCCAGAATAATTTTTAAATGATCACCGCCATGCAGAAGACTACTGCTACAGAGGTCATGGTGTTTGGAGTTGTGCCCGAGCTTCTATACTCAGACGGAGTATCTCTGCCAAGTATCCCCTCACCTCTGGAACAGATCACCTAAACTGATTATAGCTCAGTTTCCAAGCATCAGCTGAGGCTTGATGAAGGGAAAAACAGACACACTTTATTCAACAACTTGCATATAGTTATACAGATATTCTCAACAGGGGATCATCAAACCAAACAATACAATCCCACCCCAGCGCATTAGGGCTGGGACATAATTAAACAAAGGCAGGATAATTTAAGTAACTACTAGACATCAGGGAATCTTACAACAGTGTCCCCAAAACAGAGAGTTCTCCAAGAGCTATACATCCCAACGCCTGGTTTAGAGATGCAAGCTGTCCAAAAAGCACTTGGACCATCCGACACAATGTTCCAGACTGTTTGGTACCAAGTCCCAGTCTCAAATAATGGCTTCTCGGAAAAAGGAGCTCCTTCAAGTCCTTGCTGGCCGCCTCATTACCTCCCTGACCTCCTCTCCAAATAGCTCTCAGGTTAATGACCAAGTGATACCCACTTGAAGTTTTATTGAAGTTTCCCTTATGTGCTGTAAAGTCATGGCACAGCATGGAGGGGTGAACATGGTGATAAAAGCACTCTTGTGGAGGAGCTGATCTGGAGTCCAGTGCCAGTTGTTGAAATGATTGGGTCAATGCATCATAGGAGTGTACCTTTAACAAAACCTTATTGTGACCCAGACTTCATACCAGTCTCTGTTTTGTTCACACATATGCAATGCAGATTACTAGAGTATGCAGGTGCATTAACACCTCCATCTCATTGTAGGTTAGGTTTTCTCAAATTTTGCTCTTTTATTCAACATTTCAATGCTACCTTTCCTCACCATTTATTGCTCCAAATAAATTCAAGAAACATCTTTCAGGAAATGTAGCATTCATTGCAAACATCATACTCTATCTATAAAGCCACGGGGACCACTGAAAGAAAGCATTAAATCTGGTAAGCAGAAAGAAATTATGATTAGTTTATGAAGATTTGCTTCAAGTTTTAACATGATGCAAACCAAATGTATACATGGGGATGGAATATTAAGGAATGCTTTTACCCCCTCGTATAGATGGGGAATTGGTATTGAGGCGTTAATACTGAAGAGCATGCTCAGCACAGAGAATTTAATAAATAAAAATCTCAAATTTAATAAAAATGCAAATTTTAATTTGTGCAGTAAGATCAAATTTGCATTTCTATCTTGTATCATGTGTTTAACATATAAATAGCAAATTCTTCCAATATATAGTAATGTGAAAAATACTCACAATTATTATTTTTTTTTTCCAAGGGTCATATTCAGTATTAAATCACACTCGTCATATTAAACACCGACTCACGCCTATTGTTTTTATAGCAATCTCTTTGTTCATGAAACTATTAGGTTCTCTTTAAAATCTTGTTGTATCAACATGACAACTTCAATGAGTCATATTTTGGGTTGCCTGCAATGTTGATATGTGTCTCCAGAGTAACTTGTGCCGTTTTGTTTGTGAATTATTTACACACTGTGTTACTTTGCAGGAGTGACATTCCCAAAAGTAGAGCTAACGTGATTGTGTGATGCTTAGAAAAAGCCAGAGGATTAGTAGCATATGTATAAATCGCAGGGATTTAATCACTAACCAAAACAGAAAAATGCAATTCAAGATCAGGTCAGTTTCGAACATTTTCCAATGTGGCTACTTCTTCATCTGGGCAATTTTATTCTAAATTATGCGACCTGGCTGTCAAAGTGCCACAATTCCGATAACTTGCAAAGATAATGTCAACCCATGGTATACTGAAATGAATGATTTTAAGGAATCAACAGAAAGTCTTTGCAGGGTGTATTTGGAATTGAATTCTTTCTGCATTGTAATCCCTGTATCTAAAATAAAGCAATACATACATAGTGTTGTAGAACCACAAAGCAGTGTCCAGTGTTGTAGAAAAATATTGCAACATACAGCACTGCGTTCTGCATTACATGATCCAAGGAATGGTTTATAGACATGTCTGTTAAACACAGCAAGTTATTGGAGTAACCCTTAAAGAAACAGAGGGTCTCTGCTGGTGTTACATGATCTAAATGGATTAAGTAAGGGTTGTGGTGGCTATGCTTTGATGAGAAAATAGGAGTGGGTTTTAGATGTATTGAACCATCTGTGGTGTTCACATAGCATCTGGGGCGTCCCTGTGAATTAGTGTATTTTTGAATATAGAAACGTAGACCTTTGTGGCTTTTTCTGTCTCCGTGGGAGCTATTTATGGAAGTTCGAGGGACAGAGGGACAAATCAAGCTGGGTTAAGGAGAGGCAGGCCCTGGTCTAGCAGAGCAATCTGTAAACAGGCTTCTTGTGTCTTTTCTCTGGGCATTCATTCCCTGAACTGCGGAGGGGTCTGTACAATGAAGAGAACTTTATCCTGAATTTGGTGTAAACACCCTCACAACAAATCCTATAATTCTAGAAGCGTACTAGCTGGCAGTCTGTTGCAAATTATAAAAAAAAATACAGGATGCCAGTCGCCCACATACAAATGCTTTATATAATAAAACTGCAATAAAAAATTTTTGACTAGCACTATGTATTAATCAACCGAATATCTTTATTATTTTTTAAAGAAGAGTGTCACTTCATTGACTGAATTTAAATAACAGGCATAATAGAATTTCTATAAATAAAGCAGTTTACACATACAAGGTCATCGTCAAATGTACACACTGTCCTAATACATTTTTTGTTGTAAAAACCAAAGATTGGGAGTTTTGTTCGAAAGCAAATACTAATTTAGTTTTGCTACATTGTTTGTTGTATGTAAGAGAATTTCCACTGTATTTTACTCAATATATTAAACAGCTAATATGAACAATGATATTGCTTAAAGGGATATTCCAGGCAAGCAATGATTTCCATTTTTAAAGGGAAACAGTCATTTCTCTAGAAGCAGCAGTTCCTCATTTCCAACCCAGTGAATGTTATTGAAGAGCTTACTTCGGTAACTAGCTCAGTGTAAGCAAGCAAAAACATAGTTTGGCAGCACTTTTATGTCCAATGTAACACCGGCATTGCTTCATTAGTGCCATACAAGTCAATGTGCCTGCCCATTCAGCACTAAACAGGTACAATTAAAGAAACAGTAAAGTGTTAGGAATACAAATGTGTATTCCTAACGCTGTAATTGTCCTGTATCTAGATAGGATGCCATTCCTTTCAGCATAAAAAAAAGTTACAAATGTTTTGAATGCTTAACCTTAAAAAGAATAAAAAAATGATTTTAAAAAATAAAATAAAAAGTTAAGAAAATAGTATTTTACGTACATTATTCCAGTGCACGCATAAAATGTTCATGTAGGAAAGTGTTGAATCAAAGCTTTCCTATGGGATCTGTAGTCAGGTGATTCGGTTTCACTCCGTTCAGGGCCGGTTTAACATAGGGGTTGATTGTCGCGTATTCATCCGCTTGTAGAAATGTAGTTAATGGCATTTACTGTCCACACAGGAAAAGTTGTGCCGAGCAGCAACCAAATCCACAGAAGGGTTAATGCTGAGCAGCAATTATGCAAATGGGAACCTGGTAACTTGGGGTCAAAGGCCAGTTACAGCCTATCAGATCTAGAGGAGGGGTATTTAGGTCCAGTTCTCATCCTGCTAAGTGCACTGTCATGGTTTCCCTTGTGGTTGTCTGAGAGCGCGTTATTGATTTTGGTTATTCTGGTTATTTGACTTTGGCATTGTTTTTGACTTCCCTGTTTTCTGGCATCCCTGACTCCTGGCTTTTCCTTATCGTTGTGTCTCTTTCTGAATCCCTTGACCTCGGCTATTCTTGACTATTCTTTGGTACGTTAGTCCGGCCATTCTAAGGTCCGGTATAAGTTACCTATCAGTCCTCTGTGTTACCCAATTCTACGTGCTGGATCTTTCTGTAATCCTGACATTACGACAGGGCCTTCTTTTCTTCTATATTGTCTTTCTGCTTCCGACAGTCTAGTGACCCCCAACTGCATCATGGGTTCAGGTTCGGACTGTACAGAAATTTCAGGGACAATAGGTCTGGAGAAACGGGGTGCTAAATGCATACTCATGCGTCTGATCTTGTTTCTAGTAGCTTCTCTGGTTCTTAATCTATTATCAATCTGCATGACAAAAGTGATAAATTCATTAAGCTTTTTGGGTAAGTCTTTGGCGGCAATCTCGTCTAGCATAGTTTCAGATAATCCCTTTTTAAATGCAGAGATTAACCCACTATTAGTCCAGTCTACCTCGGAAGCTAGGGTACGAAATTCTATGGCATATTCCGAGATAGACCGGTTCCCTTGTCTGATGTGCATCAGGGCAGTAGAGGCGTCATCCTCTCTGCCTAAAGGTTCAAACGTAAGTTTGAATTCCGTAAGGAACTCCTGGTAATTGTGTGCCACACTCCTATTACTCTCCCATAATGGATTGGCCCAAGCTAAAGCTTTACCTTTTAATTGATTCGTTAGGTAACATATTTTAGCTCTGTCTGTGGGAAAAGATCCCGGTGAGGCCTCAAAATGATACTCCATTTGGTTAATAAATCCCCGGCATTCTTGAATATTCAGGTGGGGGGTAATGTCATGTATTCATCCGCTTATAAAAATGTGGTTAATGGCATTTACTGTCCACACATGAAAAGTTGGGCTGAGCAGCAACCAAATCCACAGAAGGGTTAATGCTGAGCAGCAATTATGCAAATGGTAACCTGGTAACTGCCTTTGGGGTCAAAGGCCGGTTACAGCCTATCAGATCTAGAGGTGGGGAATTTAGGCCCAGTTCTCATCCTGCTCAGTGCCCTGTTGTGGTTTCCCTTGTGGTTGTCCGAGAGCGCATTATTGATTTTGGTTATTCTGGTTATTTGACTTTGGCATTGTTTTTGACTTCCCTGTTTTCTGGCATCCCTGACTCCTGGCTTTTCCTTATCGTTGTGTCTCTTTCTTTATCCCTTGACCTCGGCTATTTCTGACTATTCTTTGGTACGTTAGTCCGGCCATTCTAAGGTCCGGTATACGTTACCTATTAGTCCTGTTACACAATTCTACGTGCTGGATCATTCTGTAATCCTGACATTTTGGTTATCTTCTCGTAACATCAGGCCCAAAGTCCCTAGCATGAAATTTGCTCCTAGGTTCCTTGGACCTTTTCGTGTCCTTCGTAGGATCAATCTTGTTGTGTACTCTCTGGCCCTTCCGGCCTCTTTGAAAATTCCTAATACCTTTCATGTGTCCTTGCTCAAACGTTTGCAATAAACATACTGTCTCAAGTGTCCCTCCTCCTCCCTTAGTTGTTTCTGGACAGGAAGAGTATGAGGTCTCCTCCATAATTGATTCCAGGTTTTCTCGGGGCACTTTACAGTACTTGGTGGATTGGAAAGGTTATGGACCAGCCGATCGTTCTTGGGTTCTGGCATCTGATATACATGCTGGCCGCAAGATTTGCTATTTTCACAAATTTCCTCTCAAGCCTGGTCCTACCTGCCCGGTGGGCATTCTTCGGGTGGGGGGTAATGTCACGTATTCATCCGCTTATAAAAATTTCATTTACTGTCCACACTGTGTTACCCAATTCTACGTGCTGGATCATTCTGTAATCCTGACACTGATGGAGCTGCAGCTCCACTCCTATGCCCATGGAATAGGCCAGTTGATTTAAAAATATATATATATTTTACTACTCTTCACATGCTCTTGCTTAAGTATGGAAACTTAAGAGGGATGTTGGAGAACAAAACTGGTGTGGACTGGCTGACAATGAAATTAGTTAAGGTAAAGCTGACTTTTGCGCACTATGCAAATGCTCTTGTTGCTTCAGTCTTTCTAACACTATGGCAGGTTCCCTTTCTTCTACACTCACTACATACACTTTTTCTCTGCCCCAGACTGTATAAAAGGAGCTTCTGCCTCCTAGTAAGAAGATTAGAAGAGGAGTGGACCGGCAAGTGCTAGGGGATAGGCCTTATAAAGCGTAGAGCAAGTGCATAATTAGACTAATTTATTCCAAGCCCGGGGTGCTGTCTGCACAGTATGCCCTTGGTTGGTTATCTTGCATGAATCTAATTCTTCGTGCAGAAGAATCTCCAGCAAATAATTGGTGTACACACAAATCGGTCATGGGTGGATACCTAATTAAATTGGCCCACATACCGAGGAAAAGAAATGGTAAGAATCTGTCGGATTTATATATTGAATTCTATAACCTTTCCAAACTAAATAAACACGATCCCTCTGTAGATTTAAATATTCAATTAAAAGCCATACAAAAACAAATAAATATAAAAGTTGAACAAAAAATTTAATATTTATAAATTAAAACACTACTACACGGGCAATAAAGCAAATAAAAACTTGACTAAGAGACTCCAAAATCAGCATGCAAAAAATAGAGTGGAACAATTGTCAGACGGCCAAAAGGTTTACTCGACCCCATCTCAAATAGGCGAGAGATTTAATCAATTCTATGCTGAGTTATACAATCTTAAAACGTCCCCTAATCCAAAAGATGTTCGTAATTATTTAGCTAATACACCGATCTCGAAAATCTCTTGTCAGGATTTACTAACTCTAAATAAAAATATTTGGCCCGAGGAAGTCCAATTTCAAATAGACAGATTAGCCACAAACAAAACTCCTGGCCCTGATGGCTTTTCGAACTTATATTATAAATACATGAAATCTCATTTAATAAATCCATTAACAGAAATGTTTAACCAGATAGCATTAAATCAATCTATCCCAAATGAACTACTGCAATCCAATCTTATCCCAATACTCAAACAAAACAAAATCAATTCAGACCGTAGTAGTTATAGACCCATAGCCTTAATTAATGTGGATATGAAGATATACTCTGCTATCATCGCTGAAAGAATTAAGACTATAATAGCCAAGCTAGTTCATCCTGACCAAATTGGGTTCATTCCAGGTAGACTAGCTTCTAACAACACTCGAAGAATAATAGACATCTTAGATCTGGCTAACAGACATGGGTTCCCCCTCCTGGCCCTGTCTTTGGATGCGGAAAAAGCATTCGACAGGGTCGGTTGGGGCTACCTTAGTGAGGTCCTAATTGCTTTTGGCCTTACAGGTTGGATTTTACAATGCGATATTAGCTTTGTACTCCTCTCCCTCTGCCAGAACCGTAGGTCCGAACATAACGGCGGGCTGGTGTGAACTTAAAAACGGTACACGCCAAGGGTGTCCCCTCTCCCCTTTATTGTATATTTTATCACTTGAGCCTTTGGCTATAAACATCAGGAATAATTCATTGATTAAAGGTGTCCATACAAAATCCGCCGATATTAAAATATCACTCTATGCGGACGACGCGTTAATTACTCTTACATCTCCAGAGGTTTCTTTATCCCCTCTAATGTATGAAATTGATAAATATTCTAATATTTAAAATTTTAAGTTAAACATCTCAAAATCCACTGCTTTGTCTGTTAATATGAGTAACGACCAGGTAAACATCTTATCGCAGACATATAAATTCATATGGACAAACAAGGAAATAAGCTTTTTGGGTTTAGTAATATCTGCTAACATCTCCTGTATCATGGAGAGGAATGTTTGGACCCTTTTGAGAAATATGAATGTCAAACTTAAAAAATGGAAAAACCTTGAAACATCTTGGCAGGGTAAAATAAACATAATTAATGCATATATTTTGCCTAAGTGGACAGACTTGTTCTCCATGCTTCCACTTAAAGTTCATAAACCCTGGTTAGCTTTAATTCAGTCAAGCTTTAATAATTTCATCTGGAACCATAAAAAACCCAGAGTTAGTCATAAAATTTTAGCAAAAAAAACTATCTAACGGGGGCCTAAATTTCCCCAGCATTGTCAATAGTTATCATGCAAATATTATTAGACACGTATATACTCTACAGGGTCCTAAACAGGCCTCTGAACCTTGGTTTATAATTGAATCGGAGGTAGCCCACATTGATAAATTACACTATTATATGTGGACAGTTACCAGGGACACCCCAATTAATTCCTCTTCAACATACTTAACGACACTGACTCAAATTTTAGATGATTGGTTAAAAACTAAGAAAAAATTAGGTTTTAACAACCTTATATCAAAGACTTGTAAACTCGACATTTTACAAACTATCATAAAAGATCTCTCTTTAAAAAGGTGGACCAATATGGATAAATTAACGATTGGTGACATCATGCAGGGAGAAAATATAGTGGTTAAAAAGACTTTATTAAAAAAAAATTTATTACGTCTACTGCCCCATTTGCTAAAAAGTTGGAATTTATTTTTAATTACCGTACCATTAATAAGGTCACATCCGCTGCTACCTCTCTCTTGCAATGTTTTAAAGCGCCCCCCCCATAGACTAATCAGGACTTGGGAACACGACTTGGAACTTGAGATTTCACTAGAGAATTGGCATTCTTCTTTAACGCAGTTAAACAAATATATACATTGTTTAAGCTTGACTGAATGCCACTTCAAGGTTCTTCATAGATGGTATTACACTCTGACCAGATTAGCCAAAATGTATGTTTCCCATGACCATACCTGCTGGAGATGTAGCAGCCACCTGGGTACATATATCCATATCTGGTGGTCCTGCCCTGTTGTCAGACCGCTATGGACATGGGCATTCAATATTTTTACCACTATGACGGCTAATAAAATTCGCGAAAACGCTGTCTCTGCTCTTTTACACCTTAATTGGAACCTTAAATTACTTAAAAATATTTGCTTTGCCACCCATTGTCTAGTCGCTGTTAAATGTATTATTGTGCGACATTGGAAATCAACTAACCTGTTCCAAAAATGTTTCAGATCACGATGGAATATGAACTTATTAATAACACGACGATTTCGTCAACAACAAAAAAAAAGACTGGTACTGTGACTGGGTAAACAAATATCAGCGTGTATATGGCCAGTCTTTACTTTAGACAGATTCCTCTTAAAGACTCAACATAATTCTTAGTGACTAAAATATAAAACAAAGCTGATGTCCATAGAAACTTTATATGACCCATAGTTAATAAACAGAAGGTGTGATGGGATGTGTTAACATGGACATAAAGACACCAAAAATGTGGCTGTAATATTCATTATTAATTTTTTTTTTTTTACTTCTTAAACATATTCTCCTGATCCGAAAGGGTGTTGGGCTTTTACTTTTCTACGCATGCTTGTTTATTTATGTACTTGTTTGTCATCTTTTATTTTTGTCTTTCTGGGCTTATGTCTAAATCAATACGATATATTGATGTAACATGTTTTTTATGATATGTAATTATTTATATGTTTCTTCATATGACTCGAACTTCTGCATAAGCTACAGATAAATTGTTGTATATGAAAATGTTGTTTCAATAAAAATCTATTATAATAAAAAAAAAATTCTTTGTGCAGACACCCCCCCTTTTTGGGCATGTTTGTCCCTTGTTTGGTTACGTGATTCACATCAGTGGCCCACCCTTTTACTCGACCACCAAAATCCTACTTCACCGAACACTGCTGTTTGGGGGTATGGATATAATTGAAAGATGAAAGCGAGAGATTAGCATAGGGTTTGTGTTTTCTGATAGTTATATCTTGTGAGTTTCCCTCCAGCACCACCTCCACCAGATACATGATGCTTGGGAGGTGTGACTGTTTTAGTGTTTTCTGTCGATAAGATTCTGTAATTAGGCCCATCATAATTGTCAGCACCAGGCCCAATGCTGTCTCTGTTGCTGAAGCAGGAAGAGCTTTCAGTGGCTGTCTTTGAAACAGCAGGATTAAACCTACAGGACCACAGTACCCATGGTGACTTTAGTGGTACTTTAATTTCAATGAAATATTTTGAATAGGACAGCCTGGTATAAAATGTAAATTGAAAAATGGAAAAGGCTCACATTAACATTTAAACTAAACTTCCCAAATAAAAAATAAAATAAAAAAATCTTAATTTAGCAGTAAAAACATGCATGCATCTATTATTATTATTATTATTACTACTATCGCGATTTATATAGCGCCAACAGATTCCGTAGCGCTTTAGAATAATAAACCGCTCAGGGGAGGCTTGACTGCCATGCTGAATGGTTGTGTCCGAGAGGACCGTTGTTTATTTGCCTAAAAGAACCTTCTTTCATCAAGTCACGGGCAGGAACAACACCCCTTGCTTACGGTGCCTAGAGTGTATAAGATATCCCTCACTAACAAGGCCTAACAATAATAAAACGAGCGTCTGGGGTTGCTGTATCTCTTGTGCAGAGAGAGACAGCCTATATTTTGGTTCAGGACCACCCTTTTGAGTGGAATCAATCTGATATGCAAGGGGCCCTGGTTCTTTTTGTAATGGCACAAGATAAACTAAAACCAGCTCATCTGTAACTCTGTGGTGCAACTTGGGTATGATGCAACAAAAATGCTGCTGGTGCCATCCTCTGACGATTTTCCAATCAATCGGCCAATCACCTCTCAGAAAGGTCTGGTGTGTCTGCAGTATTACCATATGTGGGTAAATGTTCTCTTCCACACAGCGCCAGCACAGTTCCGGTACAATTGGATCTTGCCTATGAAGGGCCGTTGGGGTCAGGTACCACCTCATAAAGTTTTTGTATGAGTTTTCCTGCATGCAAGCAGACATTTGAGTTTTCTGCATTTGAACAAGCATCTTGTCCTATTTTTACTTCATAAATAACTTCTACTCCATAATACGGGGTAAAGGAAGTCCTCTTATCATCCCAATGGGGCCTTGTTCGCCAGCCATGAAATTGGGATTTTCTTTTAATGGAAGCAGTGGGCTCGGTTTTGTGATCAGATAATATTTGGAGTCAAAACTATGTCACAGGGATAAAAGGGGCTCCATTCTTAGAACAAATAACAATGGTGACAGTGGGCACCCCTGTCTGGTCCTATGTGTTAACGGGAAGCAATCAGATATAAAACCTATCATAACTTCTATATTTCTATTGATATATGGATTTTTTCTAAAATTTTTTAAAAAGGACACACTCTTTGCAAATAACCAGCATGCTGAAGTGCATTAGGTATGTGGAGTGTTTCATTGAAGTTTCCTGATGAAATAACTGTCACTAAATTACCTGTGATTGAACAGATTACAGGAAATGTAGGTTTGGGAGAGACAGCGCAGGCCTCAACTTGCAGAGATACACATTTGATTTTTCATTTGAGATTTATGTCCTCATGTTCACTTAATAAAGAGATTTGTTTTCAAGAGAGTTAGATATTTATATATTTCCAGTTATGATTTTTTTCTTTTCTCTTTCTTCTTTTTATCTTTTCATTTTGTTTTCTTTACAGATTGTATATGATTCTTTAAGAGAATATTTACTTTTGCATGTTAGGGAAATATTCAAAAATATTTCAGATTTTATTAAAACTCCACCACAATTGCAGGATATAAATGAGACAAAGGATATCAACATGCATTTTATTTTCCTGAAAGATCTTGTTTTTTGTGCATAAATATATTTCACTGTATGCACATAACATCCTCTTCAAAACGTTTTTACTTATATTTTATTATTGTTTTTCATATTGTTACTAGTTTTTTATTTTGTTTGTTTTTGCTATTTTTTCATTGCAAAACATGATTAGTTAACAAGTCCAATTTAATTACTTTTTATTTGTGATAAGGTTGGTTTAAAACATTGTTGCGGTTTTGAAGTGAAATACCAGAAAAAGCAAATAAATTGCAAAGCTCATCAAACCTGGAAAAGCAGTGGAAAATTGAGATATATAAGAAATACAGATAAAATCAAGTGAATGCCATTGTAGTACAGAAAGACTTACATCTAACATATAATATACTGTAAGTTATTTAAAGTGGCAAAACTATTGACTTTACTTCCATTCTTTTCTTATCTTGCTTGAATTTTTACTTCCCTCATCCTCTCTCACAAGAGATCTTCTCTGCCCATACAGCTTATTCACTCCTTGACCGCTGACCCATATATTCATCCTATATCCTTCCCCACAGTTGCCCCCCAAATAAAACACAGGAAACCTTCTAGAATTGATAAGGGCAACGGCCACAGCTTTATTAAACATTCCAATTTTTTAACACCATAATGCTGTCAGCTGCTGGGCATTTGCCCAACAGACAGTTCTCCAATCTTTTCCCAAGAGCCTCAACAGCCGGCACTTGCCATCAGCTCCCGTGCAGGCTGCTGTCTCCCCAAAGCATCTCTTCATCTTGTTCCTTTTCATCTGCGCTGTCCAGGAATCCCACCACCGCAATACCGCCCTGGAGCGCTCTATGCTGCACCGGCACCCCACCTTACAGACAGTACAGCCTCAGCCTGATAGCAACCCTAGATTGAAAATGTCCAAGCCTATGGGGGACAGGAGAACAATATCCCTCCTCATAATGTTAAAATTCTCCCCTTCCAACTCAAAGTGCCGCACCAATATCCCACCCGTGCGGCGCACAAATCTGGAAATAGTAAGGTTGACCTTCTTGCGGAAACGCTCTAGTGCTTTCCCGTATGCGCCAGCCCTCCACACTGGACGAGGAACAATCTCAGACCAGATAAGAGTCAACTCTTGAAACAGTGCGAAACACCGCGCCATGTCCTGCTTCATGGCATGGATGAGCTCAACCAACCTTTGTTGGTCGACATCATTCCAACCAGCATGCTAAACTAGAGTAACATGACCTGACACACATCGACATCATTCCCACCATTGAAATTGCAAACATACTATAGTTATCAGCCATTGTATTACCTTTTTATCTTCATCAATTGTTTTTACTTATTTTCCAGTAATATTCATTAACAAGCAGCTTCCTGCTCTCCATCTGAAGTAGTGGAAGCAGGGAGCAGTGCCCAGCAGATGCCAGGTAAGTTTTTAAACCATACTAAAACAGAATGACTACTTACAGTTGGGTGAGCCAGGGCACTCCTGGCACTAAATACTACAGTGTGCTGTAGTGATTATGGTGCTCTGTGTGTTCCTTTAATCCTGATTCTCAAAATATTTACTGGCTTCCTCTAGTTAAACAGGCTTTTTACATTTTTATTTTATTAAATCCTCACTGTTATCATTAACTTTGTTACACATTTATTGACTTTAATTGCCCTGCAAGCACACCATCATTGTAATATGTTCTATATTGCAAAGCTTATTATTACTTTGCTGGAAATATAAAATTCTTACAGCAGCTAAAAAAATAAAATATCCTATTATTCATGTCACGTCTAAATAGGAATGTTTAATCACTTATTGCTGGAAAAATATTAGGTTAGGCACGATTGTTGTCAAGTGTAGTGTACAGATTCCTGCATTGGGTGTGAGGGCTGGATAGAGGTACAGCCCTTGGGAAACCTTCTGACTGCCCAATGACTCACAGCACCACCCCATGTTGTAACCAAGGACTCCCATGGGTCACTGGTTAATCATGAAATGTCTCAACATGCTTTTCATATGTGATAACATCTTGCCTGAAGCTGGCATGCTTTTATCATTAAATTGTCCGCCTTACAAATTTTCATTCAATCTATTACACGGTACAGGATAGACTTCACCTATTATGTTACATTTCCCCTATATTTAACAAATATGTTTGAGATCTGAAAAATAGAATTAAAGCGGGACTGTCACACACACACTTCCCCCCTGAAAAATCTGTATTTTTATAAAAATAGAATACTTATAAAATAGTAATTTCGACAGTTTCAATCTCGACAATCGTCACTAGTGATGGCTGCAGGGAATTGGCTCGATCTATGGAGCACCTTCAAAATTCTCCATAGACTTCAATGCTGTAGTCTCGCTGAAGTGCCAGGACCTGAAGGGGACCCACTGGAACAAGATGACCTTGCCTGTGAGGGACAGGTTCAGGTAAGTAAATCTCACCTTTACCTGCCTTGTTGGCTGCCGGTTACCCAGCGGCAATTTCACCATCAGGGTTTTTTTTTATTTGATAAGGTCCCCAGATGGTGAGAGTGGCACTTTACCTGATTAAAAAATCCAAACCCCTATTCTGAAACTGAGCTCTCTGTCAGTCATTATTATAAGCTCTACTGTGTCTTAGTTTCTCCAAATACTAACTGAATGTGTACCCTGGTTGTGCCAGGCCTGACCTGGAATGCAATGTCATTTGCTAAATATGTAAAAGAAAACAAAGCATCTCCTAGAAAAATGTTAATACAAGTTGTAGGTGATTTCAAGGTTTTATTCAATTGTGTAATTTCTAGAAAAAAAAGTCTGCTTTTAAACTTGTGACACAAATTCTTGTGGTTTATGGAAAAATTTCTAGAAGAAATCAAGAAAACCACATTTCACATTTGTGAGCCTTGACTGGGGTTGCCAAACGGAAGGATAGCTGAATGAATAGGCAACCCCGTAGCAGCCATCCAGTGGAAAGCTTATAAGGTCAGGCAACCTTCAGCACTCCAGATGTTGTGGACTACTGTACATCTCCCATAATGCTCTACCAGCCATAATGCTTGTAAAGCATCATGGAGGGTGTAGTCAAAAACATCTGGAGTGCCGAAGGTTGCCTTTCATGGATTGGTAGATCTGTCACACCGCAGGAGTGATGTTATAGGTCAAGCCAGTTTTGAGGTAGCCCCACAAGTAATAATTTGTTATTTTGATTATGAAGTTGTGTGCAGTACTTGGTACAACAGACTAGCTTGGCACTTATAACTCTCCTTCATGGTGAATTAATTATCCATTGACATGTTTGCAATGGTTTGCCCTCTTAGCTAGGCCCAACTGTGCATCCAGGGTACTCTGTGCATCTGTGTATCTGGCTTCTGCAGAGCTGAAGAATTCCAATTCCACTCCTGCTGGCTATTCATTGATTGAGATCATCAGCTTTCAACTCTCATTAATAGAAATATGAACAAAATGGACATTAGGCAGCCCAGAACTCTTGTCCCAGGACTGGCTAATGACACCGAAGGTGCCAGCACACCAGTACATAGGTTAAACTCTACATGCGCGTTTCATAGCACTATGTTGCACTGTGATAAAGTGAAGGCAGATAGGCCTATAACATTTAACCCCAGGGGGAGTATGTGTAGTATGTGTTGTAGGCAACACAAACCAAAGTTTAGTTATGGGCTCTGGGGTGGAGCATTTGGAGAGCAGGGTGGGCCAATGCTCCACTCCTCAGTTTTTACACAACTGGGAGAAAAAAGGTCCAGGCCAGAGTTTTTTGGAACTGTCTCCAACCTACTGCTCAGCTGCAGATAATCACCTGTAGCAGTGGGAATAAACCCATCCCTGCTAGGCAGGTAAAGGGCGGATTGTTGGCTTCCTCCCTGGAAGCAGGTAGGAGAGAGGCTGTTCTCTCTAGTGAGAGAGTCAAGGAGACTGAGCACTGGGAGTGCAAAAGGAAAGCAGTCAAGGCTGGCTTGGAGCACTGGGAGTGCAGAAAGGAAAGCAGTCAAGGCTGGCTTGGAGCACTGGGAGTGCAGAAAGGAAAGCAGTTAAGGCTGGCTTGGAGCACTGGGAGTGTAGAACGGAAAGCAACAGGCTGACTAAGCACTGGAGTGCAGAGAGCTGACAAAGACACTAGGTTGGTGAAACAAATATTGTTTTGTTCTAGTTTAACCCCTGAGAGATAGGGAAGCTGATGTTAGTAAGTGCTCAGACAAGCTAGGTTTTTGTTTATAGGGATTTGTGTTGTATTTATGTTTTCATTTGCTGCTGTCTCTGGTGGAGTTTAACAATAAAGTGCCTGGAATTAAGTGCCTTAAAAGACTGTGCATGTTTGTGCCCAAGAGGACCATGCTACCTGCAGACAAGGATCACAGCACATACAGACTCCAGGCACCATGATCACTTCAAATCACTGAAGTGGTCATGCTACTTGGAATAACCTTTTAAAACACAAGTACACATATACATTGCACATGTCTTGTTTAATTTATTAATAGACTAAATAATTCCAGAGAAATCTGGGCTCAAGATGTTAAAGCACTGAAACAATTATTTTCGGTAATTTTTGATGACTGGAAAAATACATGATATAAGCTGACAATGTCAGACATGTCTCTTCTCTGGAACCAGCTCAAACTAATGGTTCTCTTTCAGAGGCAGTTTGTGGCTGCTATTGGAAGAAAGTCTGATCTAGAGTATGGCTGCTCTGCTCCACCAATCCTGCTTTATTTAACTCTGGGGGTGTAGCCACAAATCTTCTACCCTCCACAACAAGAGAGCTGAGATCTCGGCTTGACCCGCTTCAGTCTGGATTCTGCGCTTGTCACTCTGTTGAAACAGCTATGACCAAAGTGTCCAATGATTTAATTGCTGCTAAATCTCGTGGCCATTATGCTATCCTAAATCTCCTTGATCTTTCTGCTGCCTTTGACACTGTTGATCATCAACAGCTTCTTCTCATTCTCCGTAATCTTGGTCTACGGGAGACTGCTCTCTCCTGGTGCTCCTCCTACCTCTCCCGGCGCTTTTTCAGTGTTTCTTTCTCTGACTCTACCTCTTCTCCTCAACCCCTCTCTGTTGGCGTTCCCCAAGGTTCTGTCCTTGGTCCCCTACTGTTCTCTATCTTTACTGCCTCCCTTGGTAAACTCATCAGCTCTTTTGGCTTTGATTATTATTTTAATGCAGATGTCATGCAAATCTACCTGTCCTCTCCTAAAATATTTCTCCACCCATCTTGACTCGTGTCTCTGACTGCCTCTCTGCAATTTCCAACTGGATGGCTTCTCACTGCCTTAAACTAAACCTGTCCAAAACAGAACTTCTGATCTTTCCTCCCTCAACTGTTGCTACTCCCGTGTCTGTCTCCATCCAAGTCAATAGTGCCACAATCCCCTCTACCCTGCAGGCTCGCTGCCTAGGTGTTTTTTTTTTACTCCGAACTCTCCTTCACCCCTCATGTCCAGTCGATTGCCAAATCGTGCCGCTTCCATCTCAGAAACATGGCTCGCATCCGCCCTTATTTAACACCAGACGCAGCTAAGGTGCTGGTCCATGCCGTTGTTCTTTCTCGCCCACACCTCCCATGCCTCCCCCTCTGTCAGTCTCTACATTGGCTTCCAGTTAGATATAGGGCTCACTTTAAGATTCTGGTGCTTACTTACAAGTCCCTACATAATGCTGCTCCAACCTACCTATCCTCCCTAATACAGAAATATGTCCCGTCGAGGCCCCTGCGCTCTGCCGAAGATCTACGTCTATCCTCTGTCCGTACTCCCACATCCGATGCTCGCCTCCAAGACTTCTCCAGGGCTGCACCTTCTCTGTGGAACTCCCTTCCCTTCTCCATTAGACTTTCACCCAGTCTCCACTCCTTCAAAGAAAAATTGAAAACACACTTCTTCAGGTAATCATTTCATTTAAACTGTTAGCAGGTTTTCATCCCTCTCCCCCTCCCCCTCCCCCCACTGAGTTATTTCTCAGTGATTACTTTTCTAGCAACCTATTTCATTACCCCTACTTATACCCTTTGTGTCACTGTACCCCACTCCCTCTAGCATGTAAGCTCATTGAGCAGGGCCCTCGACCCCTCTGTTCCTGTGCGTCCATTTGTCTGGTTACAATTTTGTGTCTGTTAGTCCACCCATTGTACAGCACTATGGAATTTGCTAGCGCTATATAAATAATATAATAATAATAAAGTATCATCAAATGGAGACAATGAAGTCTTCGTAGACGCTACATGTGTTAGGAATGTAATGTTTAATTGTTTAGAATCTCTCTCTACAAGAACCTTCATTTCCCCCAAAAAATTTAAAAAACCTCAATCAACAAAATCAACTATTTTCTTTTTATTGTTATGATAATTAAACTATTTAGTTCACATATATACCACGTCGATTTATACTACGCAGTTGATCACCCTTCCTGCAGGTGGCATTATACATTTCTGCTTGGATCCTGTTCAGGGAACTATTTTATCTGATTTATTATTTACCGGACTGTTTTTTTTAATGTTATGAAATATATATTTTTAAAGAAATATATACAGTTTATTTTATTGGTGAGTGAGAGCAGAATATTCTGTGCCTATGAGTATACGTTCATTTCAACAATCAGTCTGCATGGCTGAGTTTGACGGCCCAGAGTTTGAATTTATGACACTATAAGCCAATGGATATACCTGGTATTCAAATGAATATGATCCTGTCTATCTACTATGTCCATGCTGATGTCATATTATTTATAAATGATCTGCCTAACGTCTGCAACTCCTCAACTGTACACATGTATGCAGACGACACTGTAATCTATGCTAGTAAACCCAAGCTACAGTTTGAGGCTGTGCTCCAAAACCAATTGACCGAGGTAGAAAAGTGGATAGCGGATAACAAACTCTTCCTAAACACTGACAAAACCGTTACAGTGATCTTTGGAACTGTACCTGAATTACGTAAACTACAAAATCAACAACTATGTATCAGAAAAAATTCAAATAGCACACTGACAGCAGTCTGCTCTTTTAAATAGCTAGGCATGTTGCTAGACCCCAATCTATCCTTTGGCCTTCACATTGAAAAAATCTCTTCAAAACTTTACCCCAAACTAGGTGCCCTGTACAGAAACAAATTCTGCCTAAGCCCTACAGTAAGGAAACAGATGCAACAAATGCTAATGCCGGTCATTGATTATGGGGATGTAGTGTATGCACCCGCACCGCAAACCCACCTTAATAAACTTAAATTATATAATTAATTCTGTCGCTTTGTACTAGAATGTAATTAATTTACCCACCACTGTGACATGTTAAAAGAGCTAAACTGGCTGTCGCTGGAATCCCGACGCACTCTTCATCTTTCCAGCCTTGTGCATAAGAGCATTTCTGGGAAGCTCCCATCCTACCTGAGTAGAATGCTCTCCCCAGCTGTTCCCACCTCCTATAACCTCTGACCCAGTAGTAACGCGATATTTAGCATACTGCAATACAAAAATAAAGTGGCTCGATCCTCCTTTTCCTACAGAGCACAGCAATTATGGAATAACCTCAGGGACACAGTCAAATCTTCATTCAATCTAAAATCTTTTAAGAGATCTATGGCAATATACCTCAGCACAGAATACACCTGTCATGGTTAAATATATTTATTACCTGTTATGTATTCCATTTATATATTAGTGTGTGTGTGTAGAGATATATATATATATATAGTTTGTATATTGTATTGTAATATTGTACCCTATTGTATCAATGCAATGTTTTGTGAACCCATGACATACTTGAAAACGAGAGAAATCTCAATGTATCCATCCTGGTAAAATATTTTATAAATAAATAAATCTCTGTTCGGTTGGCACAAAGCATGTATCTCTGAAAAACTATTTAGCCAGCAGCCCAGCAGGAATATTGCAGTCACGGAGAAACCTCTTCAGGAAATGCAAATTTCATTGTTTGTTTTTTTTACCAGTGGTTATGCCTCATTCATGTATTTAGTTTTACATGAAATGTAGATTTCTCTAAATTATTGCCTTAGAATATTTTTTCTCAACGCTCTCTGGGTCCCTCTAGTGGTGACATTCAGTTATATGACAGTAGAGCTAAATAATCATTAAAGTATGAAAGACCTGTTTTGAGTTCGTATTTCATCCCAAGTTTAATCAGACTAATAAAATTTAAATTATCAAAGCGTGTAAATACTAAATGTGTGTGTCTCTTATCTATATAAAAATAGTGGGAACATTTTAACAGATAAAGTATGATGAAAATATGACCAATGTTATACATGAGTGAACCCATGGCTGTAATAATCTAACTTAAAATATAAAAATAGCAGAGCCAACTGTCATAGATTTTCGCTAAAGTGAGAATTCAATGTGAATTTCAAATTTAAGGTAAAAATAGCCAAAATGGAAACATTCTCAAAGTCACTCCTGCTTTCAGACCCTGCAGACATTTTCATGTAAACACTGGAGGTGCTTCCTGGGGCAGTGCTGCACAGTGCTCTGCATGGAGATGCTAAAGTTTCCTCATAGAGTTGCTTTAAGCGTTGCATGGAGATGCTGATTGGCCAAGCCAGCGTTTGGCCCTCCCCTTATACTGTGTCCTTGCTGATTTCAGCCAAGCCAATGCTTTCCCTATTGGCTAAAATAAACAATTCTGATGATGTCAGCAATGAGGCAAATGTGTGGACCCACGTGGCACTGGAAATAATGTAAGCCACATAAATGGTGGTTTTACCACTATAGGGTCAGGAATATATGTTTGTGTTCCTGACCCTACAGTGTTCCTTTAAAAAAAAAAAAAAAAAAACAACTGTGAGAAAACTTGTTTTTCTGCAGAGAGTATAAGGGGCTGTTTAAGCACCAAAATTACTTCATGCATCATTTGACAATTATTTATTTTAAACCAGCAAGCAAACACCTTTAAACAAATATACAAAACAAAACAAATGTAAGAAAAACTTTGAAAAGTATGTAATAAATGTTTATAAACTTAGTATAAACGTGGTCAGATTGAATTGTTAGAAATGCCTCTCAGCTAGGATAGTTTCTTCAGCCTCCCCTCGCCTCCCTTTTACAAACCCTGCTCAGTTTCAGATCACTCCACTAATGACAGAAACAGGGCAGCAAGAGAGAGAAATCCAAAAACATAGCCTGCTCTGCACAATCACACTGATCAGACTACATCTTTTCACCTCTGTCAGATGTTGAAGTGAAGAGATCCTCCAACTGAACATGTGTATATCTGTCAAGTATGCCCAATGCACTTTTCCAGCATTCCTATGGATAGAACACTGATTGGTTAGATCGGTGTGTCCCCTGGAGTGGGTGTGGAAAATATAAGAAAGAAGAAGGTAAATATGAGTAAATTATATTTACCTGCTAAAGCTTTTCAATGAGACTATGGTCTCAAAATGATGCATTAGACATGTGCAATTCGTTTCGTTCCGAATGTCAATTCGGACAATTCAGACATTCGGATACTTCTGAATGTCCAAATAGCTGAATTGCCGAAGTTCAGAAATTGCCGAATTGTAGAAGTGCCGATGTTCCTATGCACAGTATTGCCGAAGTACTAATATACCTACCCAGTGGAAGAATGAAGAATGCTACACTGTATACAAGTTTAAATAAAAAGTATACAACAATCAAGTAACACACATTCATATAAAATGTAAGTTACTTAGCCAGTCAGTATAATGACAGGAATGAATAAGTAGATAACTCCCTAATTCACATGATATTAGGGAGCTATCTACTAAAAGGCTGAAAGATCTAAATTGGTCTTTCAGCCAAATTTACTAATACTAAGTAAAGATTACTTAGTATTAGTAAATTATGCCCCTACTCGCTATACCGCGGGGCATGTCTAGTAAACAGTGACTCATTTGACTCAGGAATGTGGTCCGGGGGGAGGGAGGGCAATAGGTCCCCCCTTATTCTAACTTAGGCTGAATTTCGGAATGCCGAGCCGAACCGAAACGAAAATTTTCCCCATGCACATCCCTATGATGCATGTCTCTATCATGTAGCAGTTTTGGTGTATAGAAAATGCCTCTGCAGTCTCACTGCTCAAGCATTAGGAGTTAAATGCAAATGTTAGTTGCACTAGTCTCAAACAGTGCAGGACTTGTATATATCAGCGCTGTGTTAGATTAGGAGCCCCCACAATGCATGGTGCCTTTCAAACTGTGCATTACAGAGAACCAAGATAAAGTGCTTAATGAATGTATCCAGAACCCCAACATGGCATCATGTCCCCAAAATACATGTTTCAGCTTTATGTGTGTGTTATATTACACGACTTTTTAAAATATTAGGTTAGTGTTTCAAAGATCATAGTGTAGCAAAAAATGCTGTACAGGGATTGTAATGAACTATTTGCTCTTTCAAATAATGCATTTTGTCATAATATGGTTTTAGGAAATTATTGTTTAGGTGAACATTAATTCTTTTTCAATTATTCTTGCTCCAATATTCAACTGGAAATGAAGTGCTCAAATAAGCCAGAAGCTACATTATTAGTAATGACTGTCTTTGTTGGTGTCAAGTAGTAATTTATTCAGCCTTTTTAAGTCAAGTGTATAATACAGAACTGCAGAATATAGATCATAGTTTTTCTCCCTTTGCTTCTGGCACAATACTTAAAGGGACAATCCACTGCTGAAATAAAAATTTAAAAACTCTGTTTCGTAGATAAATCCCCATTGAAAACATGCATGCATTTATCTATTATGTTTTTTTTTTCCCATTGGGGTACATCTAAAACAACTTGCAAAATCTGCAGATCTCTTGTCCGCAGCCTTAGCAAGCCCTCCCCTTCGAACCCTGTCCAGACTTTCTGTGTCTGTCCAATCACAGACTTCCCAATGCAGCTCAATGCAAAATCTTTGCTAAGCAGGTGCTGTAGGCAATTGTTTCCCTGAAAATAAGACATCCCCTGAAAATAAGCCCTAGTCGCCAATCACCAGTTCGCTAATCTACGTTAGCAGATTTTTCCCCAAACGTAGTTTCGCGGGATTTAATCACGAGTAAGCAAATCTATGTTCGGGAAAGTTTTCCTGAATATAGATTTGCGGGATTCCAAGCACTATTAAACTGGTCTATGTTCCGGGGAACAAACGTAGACCTGCTTTCAAGCGAATGCTTGAAACCGCTTTCCCCCTAAATAAGACATCCGCTGAAAATAAGCCCTAGTGTGTTTTTCAGGGGAAAAATTAATATAAGACCCAGTCTTATTTTCAGGGAATATAAGTAGCTCCACTGAGCTAACAGGCCAGGAATAACAGGACGTGTAGTCTGATTGACAGCCAAGCGGTGTAACAAGGTTAAAGGTACACTATAGTGTCAGGAAAACCGCTTGGTTTTCCTGACACTATAGTATCCTGAGGGTGCCCCCACCATCAGGGTCCCCCTCCCGTGGCGCTGAAGGGGTTAAAACCCCTTCAGATACTCACCCTTTTACCCCGCCGGGCTCCCTTACCTCTCCTCCCTTTCTGACATCGGCATCCTTGTCTGACGCCACCTGCGTGCGCATTCAAAGTGTCCGTAGGAAAGCAATTTTTAATGCTTTCCTATGGATGCTCTGCGTGGATGAATATGCCTCAATCATTACCGATGCGCCTCTAGTGGCTGTCCGGAAGACAGCCACTAGAGGCTGGCTTAACCCCAGATGTTTACAGCAGACAGGGTTAACCCTAGAGGGACCTGACACCCAGACAACTTCATTGAGCTGAAGTGATCTGGGTGACTATAGTGTCCCTATAAGTTATAAAAACTCAAATTTCTAGTGAAACCTGCAAAAAGAAAAAAGTATCCACTCTTCACACATGCTTTAGGGGTCCAGAGTGTCCTTTAAAGGGTAACAGTCACTTCCCTGACATTTACACCACTGAATAAAATAAAATTATCAACAACTTGTGTTAGCTTTTTCATGAGATGCTCTGTTTTCTTTTAAATTTATATTAAAAAGTTAGCATATTATATCCTCATCCAGTTCAGACAAGGCATGGAAGGGGCAAACATTGGTTAATTTCTCCTCTGCATGCTTTCTCTATGACGACTGCCAGTTGCAGAGGACAGAGCTTGTAACAATGATTGACAGACTGGTAAGATGGAGGTTCTCAGGTGCAGGATAAAGAGTAGTTGATTTTTTTACATTTAATTTTATTTTTCACACCACTATAAGGCCACTTTAATTATGAGGCTCCAGTGTGAAATTTACCCTACTCTCGGCTCTCCAGACGCTTGAATAATTTTTTAAAGACCATTCCTAATTTTTATGCACCTTTGTCATTTTCACACTTTTCTCAGCCGACCAAACACTGATGCCAATCTCTGATTTTGACTCACCTGCATCAATTTCTTGTCAATTTATTTCCTCCATACGCAGCATTCCCACAATTAATCCTAAAATAACCTTTGCGCATTTTATTAATTATTAGTTGGTATTTTGTTCAACACACCGCGACTACGCAAACCTGACACAAATGTTAAGCAGAGACTTGGCCATATATAGACCCCTCTAGTTTTTGTACTAGTGCCCTTTAAGTGTGTTGTTCTTCATTTAGTATTATTGCTGTACTTTAGAATTGCAAATCACAGATTGCTAGAGAAACTAAAATTGAACACCAGGTGGCCACAATGCATATGCTACCAGTTGAAACATGAATACTTCTTAATTGAATCAACTGGGGAATACAACAAAGAATGAGAGAGAATGACTGATCTTAAACAGTAAATTTAATCATCCTCCCAAAAACTTTGTGGCCTGAATTCATCGCAGAGTGATGAGGCCTAGCATTTCATATCATCTTTCTAAGTAAGAAACACTAGCTAATCAATCAAACGTATTAATTTGTATCAGAATATCACAGACCCACTCTATTATAAATGTCCTGCCTAAAAACCTACAGCATGAACATGCTGTCATTTTCCACTTAAAGGGACACTATAGGCACCCAGACCACTTCATCTCATTGAAATGGTCTGAGTGCAGTGTCCCTGTCCCCTTCACCCTGTAGGATTTACTCCGACTCTAGTGGCTGTCTACCAGACTTAAGGTCCGCTAAATGACGCTGGACGTCTTTACGCTTGGCATGCAGACATCCAGCGTCAGCTAAAACCACATAGGAAAGCACTGATGCAATGCTTTCTTATGGGGAAGTTCTAATACGATCAAGGCACTCTCCACGCATGCACATTAGGGCCCCCCATTGGCTGACGTCGGTGACGAGGGGCATCGGTGCTGGAATCAGGTAACTGATAAAAGTTTTTTTTAACACTTTCAGTTCTGGGGTGTTGGAAGTGGGGTTGCTTAAAAGGAGGGGGGGCACTATGGTGCCAGGAATACAACTGTTTTACTAACAATATAGTTTACCTTTAAATCCTTTTGGAATGTAAATCGCTTAAAGAATAGTAAATCCAAAATTGTTTCTTTCCAGCACATGAGTATCTAACCATGGTTTTCTTCACTAACCATGGAATTTATATTCTGAGAGACCAGAGCACTTCCTGCAATGTCATCGGCTTTCCAAGAGAACTGGGTCACTGTTGTTTTGCATGCTGCTCCAGTGCACACAGATATATATGCCTGGTCGCATGCATGACTCGATGTGAGAATAGCCACGGTGTTCACGACACCTCGCAAATGTTATATTTAATATTACTATTATTATTATTATTACTATTGGTATTTATATAGCGCAAACTTATTCCGCAGCTCTTTACAATATAAAGGGGGAAATTTAACAATAAAAGGGACAATTAGAAAATGGTAGATAAGGACCCTGTTCAGATGAGCTTAAAGAATCATTAGCATTTTTGCTTCATTTGATATTATATATTCCCAGTTTTGGTGCAGGTTCCGTAAGATGTGTGAATACAAGGGCAATGTGCATTGTAGAAACAAGGCTGTACTGGCAAAACTGGATGACTGATTTATGTCTGATTATGACTCCTGCATTTACTGCTGTTGTAACTGTTGGTAGTCAGCACTACGGACAGGGGTTAGGCTTTGAAGGGTTATTCTCACTAAAAAGGGTTACAGCTGTCCCATCCCCCCAAAAAACAAATCCTACAATCTCAGCAACATTAAACGTTATCTGCTAAGCTTTTAATAGACCAATGATCAATGAACTGCATTTTTCATATATTCATGAATAACGGTAGACTTTTAGAGGCAGACAACAATTATCTCTCTCTCTCTAAACAAGGTGTCACGTATTCATCTGCTTATAAAAATGTGGTTAACAGAGGGGATATGATAGAAACATTTAAATATATAAAGGGAATCAACACAGTAAAGGAGGAGACTATATTTAAAAGAAGAAAAACTACCACAACAAGAGGACATAGTCTTAAATTAGAGGGACAAAGGTTTAAAAATAATATCAGGAAGTATTACTTTACTGAGAGGGTAGTGGATGCATGGAATAGCCTTCCAGCTGAAGTGGTAGAGGTTAACACAGTAAAAGGAGTTTAAGCATGCGTGGGATAGGCATAAGGCTATCCTAACTATAAGATAAGGCTAGGGACTAATGAAAGTATTTAGAAAATTGGGCAGACTAGATGGGCCAAATGGTTCTTATCTGCCGTCACATTCTATGTTTCTATGTTTCTATGTCTGCGGCGAACCGTTCGGGACATCACTACTCCTAAACACTGCTTACACTGTGACCGTATCTCCTAAACATTGCTCATTCTGTGACCGTATCTCCTAAACACTGCTTACACTGTGACCGTATCTCCTATAGACTGCTTACACTGTGACCCTATCGCCTAAACACTGCTTACACTGTGACCCTATTTCCTAAACACTGCTTACACTGTGACCGTATCTCCTAAACACTGCTTACACTGTGACCGTGTCACCTAAACACTGCTTACACTGTGACCATATCTCCTAAACACTGCTCATACTGTGACCGTACCTCCTAAACACTGCTTACACTGTGACCATATCTCCTAAACACTGCTCATACTGTGACCGTACCTCCTAAACACTGCTTACACTGTGACCCTATCGCCTAAACACTGCTTACACTGTGACCGTATCTCCTAAACCTTGCTTACACTGTGACCGTATCTTCTAAACACTGCTTACACTGTGACCCTATCGCCTAAACACTGCTTACACTGTGACCCTATTGCCTATACACTGCTTATACTGTGAATGTTATTTTTTCAAGTTAGTTTTATTGTTTGCGGTTTCATTGATTTGTTAACCACTGTCCTCAATCTTCTGTTCTGTGTTTTCTTACATTTGTGGGAAGAACAAGGTGATCCTCTCAATTTTACAGTCCTTTACTGATGGTTCCAGTGCCAGAGACAAATGCTCCTCCATTAACCTCGACCTGCTCAAACAGAAGAGATTACCTTCTTCTATAGAAAACTTCCATATGGCTGCTTCGGAACACATGCAGCAGACATGACGTAACCTTCATCTTCCAGTGATTAAAAATCGTGGACCGTCCAGGGAAAGAGACCATTATATTATTAAGATACTGCCTTCCTAATGTGATACAGCCTTTCTTTACAGGTGATTGAACTTTCTCCTTCTTGGATACCACAGTGTGTCTTTTCTTAACCAGTTTCCACATTTTTGACTTTTATATTTTTTCCACTATACATATAAAGTCTAAACTGCACATTAACTTTGAAGAAATAAAGTATTTTGCTGACACCTTGACATGCAATTTGTGTTACTTAGCTACAAATAATACCAGCACTTGCTGCATCCCATTGTAGGTTTCTCAGAAACTGCAATATTTAACATTGCAGGGTTAAGGGGACATTGGTACTGCACCCAAATCCTTTCAACGAGATGACGTGGGCTTTTAAAGAGCAACTTCTTACTATGCTTATTGCTATCTTTTGAAACTCATCACATTTATAAGCAACACTATGCATAGGCACAGTGACAAGAGGACCTATATGCACCATAAATTAGCATATGATGTTACAAAGCCATATTTCCTAACAGTCCTGAATTGTTTGGTAGAGTCCCAGTTTGGGTTTGCTCTCCACTGTCCCACAATAATCAACAGGTTAACTTTATTACAGACAAATTACTGTAGATTTAAAAATTAAAAGAGTTTTAATCTTTATAAAAGTGGCAATATAAAATAGTAAAACAATTATTTAATTTCTAATTTAACAAAATTGAAAAAGTATGTTGTCCATTAATTACATAATAATTGCACATGTGGCCTAATATCAGATATTGTTAGTGTCACCCCCCTCTTACTCTGTCATCCCCCTGTCACCCCTCCCTTACTGTCACCTCACCTCATCACCCCTTGTCACCCCCCCACACTACGTCACCCCCTCTTATGGTCACCTCACACTATGTCACCCACCCTCACTGTCACTCACCCTTACTCTGTCACCCATACTCACACTACATCACCCCCCCTCTTACTCTGTCATTCCCCCCTCACCTCATCACCCTCCCTCTCACACTATGTCACCCTCCCCACATGGCCACCACTCCCCATACACACGAGCACCACTCTCCACACTCTGGCACCTCACTCCATACACACTGTTAACCCTCAACACTCTGGCACCCTCCTGCTCTTTTACACTCACCCTGCCACAGTTACCCCTTTACTCACCCTGTCACACACCGAAGGCAATCATTATACACACCTTCATAAAATATAGCTTTGCCATAAACTCAGTGCCAAAGGCCAGTCATTACATAAACATTCACATGCTCAGAGAAACATACATACAGATACAAGGAAACTCACTGTCAGACACACACTCAGGTAGACAATGCAACAATGTATACAGAGACTAGCTGTGTGTATCCAGTCTTGCAAGCTCCCCCATCAATATATCTACAGCTTCTTATACACAAAGTCAACTGCTATTTTTTTCTTCAATAATGGTGTTCTTCGTGGGGGCCTCATGTATGAGTTTCGCCTAAGGCCTCACCAAGTCCTAGAGCCGCCACTGGCTTCAACAGCTAGGTCGATGGGTATCAGATCATTTTCAACTCTATGTTACTCTGTATCATGTATAAAAAATAATAAATTAAAAAACAAATTGTCTATGGTTTTCATCTGTTCAGTTTTATAGATGAGTATCCCTGATATTTATGGATCCTGGGCTATTTTTTAATATATTGGGCTGCTCGTCGCACAGAGGATAGGAGAAATGGCCGCAATTTGGAATTTGATTATGAGGTTCTTCAGACTGGAGCATTGTAGGTGCAAGTTAAATATGGAGTGTCAATATTTGTTTGCCGCACATGGGGTATAGTGGTTCGACATGAGGATCTGGAGGGTGATAATTCTAATGTAATGCGGTCTGACTGGATGCACTTAACTCCTGCAGTTCAGATATCTTTAATCTGGGCTTATAGGGGGGTTTTGAGGCTGCAGCGGGTGCTATAGGCATAGTGGTGGCGGTATTCCTTGCTTGCGGAATAGAAAACATGAGGTGCCAAGTCGGCTTGGGCAGTCATAGTCTGCTCAGGGCTGATGGCAGTAGGCGGACTGTGTTGGACTCATGGGAAAAATGTGGAAGACTGCCCACTGAAAACCCCCCAATGGCCAGCAGGTTGTTAAGAATGTTAAAATGCTGGCTGATTATAAGTTTGATAAAGCTGGAGCTGCTGCCATTATACACATATTAATGTGTTATTTGGAAACATTATTATGTGGTTGAGATGGTTGGGTCCTGGATCAGTGATCATGTATTCATCCTTATATGCTAATACTGCATGCTCTGAAACGGTGTGTCCCAATATATCCGTACAAGATGAATGAAAACTGTAAATTTGCATATGTTATATTTTAAGGCATTCTTGAATTGCACACTATACAGGAAATTCCTGTTTTATCCCATGTTTCTGCACTAGAGTTTACATAAAATATTAGGAAAATACTGCCTCAGACAATGACATTTATTGCCCGCTTGCAGCAATAGACATGCCTGATATATTTAATATGGTATTATTTTACAAGTAATTGTAATGAATCCCCTATGCCCCGGCTGAGTATATCCGCTGTAGTTCTCCCAAATTCCCAGTGTAACAGTGATTATATCTCCTAATTCCCCCAAACATCAGCCTAGACTTGATAAAGGGCAGAAACGAATGTGTTTAATCTGGCCAACTGGCCCACTTATATACAAAATCAGGAGGCTGGAAAACACGCCCAGAACACTCCCACAACACACCCACAAAATGGTTACAAATTCCAGAGTCAGCATGACTAGGCATAAAATAAAAAATGTAAAAAAGACATAAAAAATACATACAAAACAAATAGGAACCCCTACAAATTATATATCGTTAAATAGCCCTGATCTGTGCGCCCAAGTTCTCAAAATAGCATTGTTGATCAACTTCCGGGAGCTCCTGCAGTCGCAATACGGGGTGCTCCTGCTGGCTCCTAGATAGCGTTTGTTCCCCTTAGTCTCAGGCACCTTCCCTCAAAAAAGCGCTCTCCTGGCGGATTTCAAATTGGTTCAAAACCACAAACCAATCTGTCCGGTCACCTCATGCGGAAAACAGTTCCATAACATTTGCGGATAAGTCCCACTGAGGTGTCCAGGAACCCATGAAGTCCTCATGCCAAAATTAGTTCCATAGCGGTCACGGCTAAGTACCGCTGGGACTTTTCGTGGGTTTGGTTCACGCAAACGGCCGCCAAAGAGCCAGCTTTCGGTTCCATTCGCATGGAGGGAAAGTGCCGAACTAGGGGCACCCAGGGCAAGCTACCAATGGCAGTTGGGGAGATTTAACTCCTGAACAGAGTCTTTGTATATGGCCCATAGTCTGTGGGCAGGAGGCCAGCTTCTACACTCCTCCATAAATTTGTGGCAAACGTTCAGGGCAAAGAGGTGTTTGTCAGAGTAATCTATTCTATAAATTTGCCATATGTCATTGTTTCATATAAATATGATTTTCCTTTATATGGTGTAGTAAATTCTACATAGAGGAAAGGTAACATGGCTCATAATTAACCTTTATTAAATGTTTTATATTTAACTACTGTATGCAAGGGAGGGGGTATATCTGCATTTTCCTTCATTGCATGAGGAAAATGCAAAATGTGCCTCCAAAGTCCTTTTTCCCAAAATATACCATTTAGCAGAAGCAGATTCCTTTAAAAAGCAGTGGAAAACCTCTGTTTAAAAACTATTAATTTAGAATGAGGTTTTGGTAATATGCTTTGTAAGCCCTTTGTGATTTGCCCAAATCCCATTACTAAAACCTCATATTAAATTAATAGTTTCTAAAAAGAGATTTTCACTGCTGTTGAAATTAATTTATTTTTTTTCAGATTGTAAATCTGAAAAATTAGGACTTTTTCCCTCAGATATATTAAGACTTAAAACTGTACTGGGTTGGTAATAAACTAGACATATTAATACAATTTGATGTAAACCTGGCAAATTAATATAATTAAAAAAGAAAATGTCTGTGTGGTTTTAACACAGTGTTATGTTGAGGCTCTAGTAATCTGACAAAATTAAAATGGATTTTAGTAATTTTTTACTTAGAGCAGGGGCAACTTTCGGCACGCCAGATGTTATTGGCTACATCCCCCTGATGCTTTGCCAGCATTATGGCTGCAAGAGCATTATATGAAATGTAGTCCACAACATCTGGAGGGCCGAAGGTTCCATTATTGCATGTCAGGATCATATTTAGTTTAATATATTTATATATGTATATTTTTTGTCAATCTGTTTCTATTGTCAACCCAACGGTAAGACATGCATGACAGAAAAGAAAACAGGAATATATGACAAAACCGGCATAGCATATCACATATAACAGTATGGGTTGCAACTGGACTGAGGGTTTTATAGTGAAATACCAAGGAAACAGTAGCAATATATTGTGGTTGAACTAAGAATACTACCCTTCATAGGGAGACCATCGGAATAATACATAATCCATTGTTGCTGAGGGGCAGAGAAGACCATACGCCTATTGAATCACCCTATATGGGGCAGGTGATATCACCAGTAAAACAAAGATCAAGAGGCTTACACCCACTATAGTATGTTGCTCGGAGCTAAAATCAGTGGGCATGGGGGGGCGAGAGAGAGGTACGTACACCCCTACACCAGCAGGAAGGAAATGGGTGGAATGTGTCTCAAAGGACATCTGTAAGAAATATTTATATTTTAATCATGTTTCATCATACAAGTACATATTGTGATCTGCTTATGGCAATTGCTGCCCACCTAAAATTAGAATAAAACAAAAAATAGTTCAATACAGCAAATAATCCCCCTGCCTTCCTTATAAGAACTCTATAGTCACCCAGACCACTTAATCTAAATGAATTGGAATCAAATACTGCTATCAGATGATTGGAGAAGCACAGTATTTTGGTGCTCATGTGCTCCCCAATCCAATTCTTCTCTACGAAAAAAGCATCAGATTCGACAAGATCACACGTGAC